TCTGAGGATTACCCGTGCACCAACTACAGCAGCCTTTCGGTGCCCTTCCACCTTGCCGCGAGCTCGGTGTCGACAGCAGACTTGGCTATGTCGCTGCAGCAGCATGGTCGTGCAAACTGACCTGCTAGCCCAATGATGTTCTGTGCCTCTTGTCTACCCGCAGCACCTCCACTCAACAACCTCCCTGCCTTCAAGTGAAGGTCTTTTTGATTCTCGGGATGTGTTGCACGGGCAACTTGGCTCATCCGATCATCGTGTACATACCCGTTGGGTTTGAAGTGTCAGGAAAGCGTCAGGATGCAGCGCTAATGTGTCGAGGGGGCCATTCCAACCGGCTGTGCGACACGGTACACCAAGCAGAGCGGACAAGAGTTTCCGAGGCACATTCACCGGCATCTTTGCAGGTGGCTTCGTGGAATACTTGGGTGCGCAGCGGGACATGGAGCGCCGCCAGGTCGACCCAAAGCAGTGGAGCAACACGTTATGGTAAGAAGCCACAACGTCCGGCACTGCTTTCCCGTTCGAGGCTGCAGAAGAGCGAGTGCGGATTATGGTCGCTGCGGTCTCTCGGATGTTTGTCAGTCCGGCGCTAGAATTCCTGCAGCCCACTCCCCCAAAATACCTTGCCTGCTTGTGCGAGAGTGAGAGTCGAAATGCAGGTATTTAAGGCTTCCTCGTCATGCTTTTAGAGGGTAGGTTGAAGAACAGGGAAGCAGCGTGCTGAAGCCAAGCTTGAGGTTTCCGTCCTTCAGCGGCGAGTGCGGGCTCGGCAGCGGCAAACGAAGCCTGGCTTCTGAGAATCCCAGCCTGGCCGGAATCATCAAGCGAACGCTAGGAGTCCAGAGTCGGAGGTGGTATCTTCGGCCGTTTGGTCTTGTCAACAGAGAGTTGCCCAGTATTTGCGACTGTCGCATTTCTGTCCGAGGCGCGGCTTCTCCGGTGAACTGCCACGCTACAATCAGGCTCGGGACTCCGCGGCTATCGAATTGGAGCGGGCTTGCTATGCACTCCAGGTGACGATGCAGAAGGCAGCGCAGCGCTTCTTGACGGCATTATGGAGCTTCGCAAATTTTCGGATATCTTGGCGGGGTGTGTCGCACCAAGGTCTGCTGAAGCGGCAGACAAGCCTCGGCCGTGTTTTCATGAGTTTGGCCCAGTCTGCGTTAATCATCAATATCCTGAATACTATGAGCCTCGGCGGGCAAAAAGTCAGATTGCGATTGGCCAACTGACGAGAAGGTTTTCTGATTCGGCCGGATTCGGGGTCGTTTCTGCTTAATGTCTGCCAGCCAGACACAGTTTTTGAGCAGACGTTGTTCTTGGATCACTGGGCTCCGACGCAGAAAGCAAGCTTGGCTAGGCATGTGTGGACACTGTGTGATCCAAGCAAGCTTGTTTTCGTTTTCGCCAGACGGTCAATTAGACGGTCACTGGGGCGCTGGGGTAGTGCAAGGTTGGAGTCTATTCCGGAAGTGGAAGCACTGGGACCAGCAGCCCGCAGAGCCTTGACGTTTGTGGAAGTGGCGGCTCAGAGGCATCCATAAATAGTGAAATAGTGGTGGTGAAAGTTGTGCGGCCATGTCCATCATGTCCATCAACTCATGATCAATGGCTACATATGAGGTCACCGGGCTTGTTTTTGCCATCGAGTTCTTCCTCCATTTCCTTGCACGTCCGCTTGGCTCGCTCCCTAAACGGGTAGAGGGACTGCAGCCGTGTCAATGATCGTTTTTTGTCGAAGCACAGAAGATTGACTAGACTTTGGATTCAGGCATTTTCACTACTCCAATGCGGATCGTCGACTTCGTATGTTTGCTGCCGACGATCATGAGGCCGGAAAGGGCCAAGGTTTACTAAGACACAGAGACTCAAGAGACCGGCACTGGACCAAAGTCACGAACGTGATGAGATAACGTGGCCGTACCGAGGGTCAAGTTCGAGCTCCAGAGCATTGAGGCCCAGGACAACTCTCCAGGACCCGAAGAGTCGGGTTTTATCCAACTCGACTTGTAGGTTGCACGGTCGTGCTTGAGTTTTCGGGACGGCCAAGAACTGGCAGGAATGGAGGCGTTCATCGAGAGCGTGGCCGCCTGTCGAATCATTCGAGTGCTGGACTGGCCCGGCATCGCAAGAGTGGCTTGGCATACCTGAGAAGCTGATCCCGGTCATCCCTTCGCACGCGGTTCTCTATTGGTTCAGGAGGTGAGGGCGGTGAAGTCGACGATAAAGGCGGCACTTCCGAGCCTTGCCATGCCCGCCGTCATCAGCCTGGAGCTTTGGGTGCTCACTGCAGGCTCGTGACTACGAACGGCTCGAACTGAAGAGGCCGTTCTTTCTCGCTCCCTTCCTCCGAAAGACAGGCATCTTCGTGTGGCTGGAGAACTTTTTCGCGAAGGACGACGAGGCTTCGGACCAGGAGACCTGATCCTTTGCTGACTTTGCTGCATTGCACTTCCTCCGTGCTAGTGATTCCAAAAGTGCGCAAGGAGCACATGGGCTCTATCCCCGATGCGCTGTACTGGTGCAGCATCTACCTGCTCGGTGAATGGGCAGCTTGCGCCGCAGGATTGTTGTTACAGGGTTGTTTGGAATGGCAGGTTCACAAGAAATTTTCATGGTGTCGGGTGTGATGGGGCCACATGCCTTCCCCGGAGGGGGGGGGATTCTGCAGGGATTAGCCAGCTCAGGCGAACGATGAGTTCACCGATGGAGCTGGCAGCCGCATGTGCATCTTCTACTGTCTCTGCGGGGTTGCGCTTTTCTCAATTCCAGCGCCTCGGGCTGGTTTCAATGAACTTGGGGAGCACTTGCACTATTAGGCGCCTTGGTCACCCATCCGAGGTTGGAATCATGGTAGAAGCCGGGCAGTCAACCCTGCTGAAGATTGCGGATGTGCCTCCGACTGCACGAAGTGAAGCACAGCTCGCCGCCTTACACTCGTAACTCGTATGACATGTATAGCTGTATAACTCGTAGGAGCTCTGAGAGTGATTTGCTGAGGAACGCCGGGAGCTGGAGCAGCTCCGCCAGGCTGCTCGCCAGGGCAAAGGAGCCGTCATGGCTCCCAAGGAAGCGGAAGGACCGAAGCACGGCGCGGCACCCGCCGTAGCCAAGAAGATCGAGGCCGGTGTGCTTTTTTGGAGGGTTTTGTGAAATATGATGTGATAACGTGCGTGCGCTCCTTACAGATGCTGCGCAGCACTGCTCAGGACACGCCCGAAGAGGCAGAGCCAAAGAAGGTCGACTGACAGACGCGGCGCCCGATCTAAACAGGGCTCTGGTCGCTGCTTCTGAGAACCAGTGTCGCCGGTGCCTTTCATGAGTTGGGCTTCAAGGCCTGCTAACATCCAGCGGTGTGCGACCAGGCATCTCAGTGGCGTTGCCAGAGAGAGCCAAAAGTGTCCGTGGGTAACACCCGTAGTTTCAGCCTCTCCACGGTTTCACTGCAGCTAGTGAGGCAACGCCCAGGTCACAAGGAACGTTTCTGCACGTGCATGTCCAGCATACACTGTTGGCAGACTCCCTGCCGGCAGCTGCGCAGGTTTGAGGAGACTTTGCAAGATGCAGCGGAGGCCTTGGCGAAAGATCCGAAGTGCTCCATGGTGAGGGGCCGAGATTTCTGCTTTCTGCACGAGACTTCCGAAAGGGATGACTCAGCATGCGAAACTGCAGTTTCGGCAGCAACGTATAGCGAGAGCAAAACGACAAACTGCACCTGGTGCACCAAAAAGCAAAATTGCATTGGCCGAGGCATCCTACTGGAAGGGCATCGTCCTCCCCGCGTGCTTCTGGGTTCACGGATTCAAAGCAGGACGAGGACGACACGCAGATTAGTTTGTCCTCTGTGCCAGGCATTGTTCTACATGGGAGACTTCGCAGCTGCGAAGGTGACACGGTTTCCTGCTTGTTCCTTCGAGGACGGCTGTGTTGCTTTGCCTGGTCATTGCCTGTCAGGCTGCGTTTGAGGCATCGCAGCAAACAGCTGTGAATTCACAGGCGACCCGGTGTTGCACCTTCGTTCGCGGTATTGCGATGGGCCGGGAAGGGTTTTGTCCATCGTCTCAGGCTCCCCGAGCCTTGTGGCTCCGGAAGTGCGATGCAGAGCTGAGCGGCTCCACTTTGCCACTAATAGGTGCCGGGATCCCAGACTGCTGCATCTGTTGGTATGATTTGCCATGCGCAGCCACCAGCATCTGTGGAAATGTTATGAAACATGCAGAATGAAACGCAGGTCACTGCCGAGATCAGTAAGGCACGAAAGCAAGTTCACAGTCTGGCCAGCTTGCACAACTCACACTACCATTGCGTATCGCAGCATACCTGGTCCACGTTGATTCTAGGCTTGCACACGGCATGTTGGTTTGTGGACTTTCGCGTGTTTGGATTCATGATGGTCCGTGATTGTGCAGGTTCCTGCAGCCTGGCTCTAGCAATCCACGAGAACTGCACCAGCAGTGTAGCCCTCTAGCCTAGCATTCGGACCACCCTTTTCGGAACCGTTGCCGCCTGCCTAGCAGTGTGGCAGGAACAGTCGTACACAAAGATGCAACAGCACCTGGAAAGCTTGGATTGCTTGCCGAGCTCTTGCGCTACCGCCATGCGTTGCTCTCGGGCTGCCTTCGCAATCCGATGGCGGCTAAGGCAGGTGAGCAGCAGAGCACAGGCGAAGATGGTTGGGCTTCTGAGTCTGAGCAGTAGCAGGTGCTGGAACCAGCAGCGCCAGGCACATGGAAGCACATGCAGCGTGCAGATCTTGACCCTTACAAATTACACTAAATCAAGAGTTTGGATGCTTGCAGCGATGATGTCTGACCTGCTGAGTCTTTGCAGCCTCAGATCCTAGGACCTGCTATACCTGCTTCAGTGATCCATTACAACCGACGCACTGCAGCAGCAACAAGGCAAAGCAGTTGAAGACCTGTGCACTGCCTGTGCAACAAAACCCCGCCTCCGCAAAGCAACTCGCAAGAGAACCCATCAGTCAGCCGAAGCCTGATGCAATGGCACAGCAGCAAGAACCAGATGCAGAAGGCAGATGCTGATCTCGGGGCATGGACTGGGCACGATAGGCCGCATCCATTGCTGACGTGAAGCATTTGGTAGGCCCTGGCCTTGTGTGTATTACAGTTTGTACAGAGCCTGAACTGACATTACTACCTGCCGTGATGGCGTTGCTTGGCAAGGCAACCACTACGTTACATGCAGGGATGGCACATCGAAGCTTGCCGAAAGGAAGCATGCGTTCACGAGCAATGACAAGCATGAGACTGGATGATGCAGGACCCGTAGTTGTGATCCGAGGATCCGCTGCCGGCTACTTCTCGGGGGACCGGCAGGTGATGGCCGCCTAGATCCCAAAGCTCGCACGGCGATCTGCTTGCACGGCATCGGCGAGGATTTGAGCTTTTGGGAAGAGGCACGTCTGCTCTGCCTGGTTTTGGGAAGAGCGGCGGTGGCTCTCATCCCCTCAGGGTGTCTTCCGAACAGAGGACCTCCCGGAGAACTTCTCAGGCGAACCCAGCTGGGGAAGCTTCGTCAGCCCTCAGCTGAATCTGGTCAGGATTCGAGGCAATGCCGTCAACGGAAGGAACTGGGCCCGTACACGCCAGTGACAAGGCACGACGCAATCATCCTGCTGGTCCGCAGGTTTCAAGTCCTGCTTGAGGTGCGAAGAGCAAAGTTTTCTCGGGCTTTGGCAAAGCGAGTCAATGTCCGGTGCTCAGTTGAGACACAACTGCGGTTGCATGTGCGGCGTGGGCAGTGCGAGGTCCTGTTGGTGGATCAGCGTGGCTTTGGGCGGTCCGACCGTCCAAGGAGCCATAGAGCCATGCAGCTTTGTGCATGCCCATGGTGCATCATTGCTCCATAACAGTCCATCTTATTTGGAGACCGGGTTGGCTATTGCTCGAGGCATCCCCCAGGCCAGAAGCAGCTTGCCTTGAAAGCTGCATCTTGCGTATCCTGCAGGACGCTGGCTCCACTCCAGGACGAAAACATCGTACTCCTAACCACCTGGAAAGTGCGAGATGTTGCTAGCTTCACAGCTGCGGCAACTCGGACGGGAACTAGCGGTTTCGCCTTCAATGCAGAGCCATGCACAGGTTTTTTCCCCGGGTTTCTCCGTTTCTTTCAGGCCAAAGCGGAGATGAACTGCGCACGCAAGGCTGGGGCTGCGGCGCACAGCATTTCCCTTTGTGGTGGCACCTTGGGTCAAAAGCGAAGTGGGGGCTGAGTCGGCGCTGCTTAAAAGGCCGACAGAGTGTTTCGGCGTTTGGTGCCCAGGCAAAGCCCTGGTCCGCAGCGTCTTTCGCGACACTGCCGTACTCGTGCCGTGGACCCGACAGCTTTGAAGATTAAGGGGCAAGTGCATCAGGGGACCAATCGGAGGATGGGCCTCTGCCACCGTCGCGAGTCTCATGGGGTAGCTGCCACCCCTTGAATCCAGGCCTGATTCCTCGTCATTCCGAAGTCCAGACCTCTCCCGAAACCTACTGGCGGCTGCAGCCGAGTGTGCGCGTGTGTGCTTTTGGACCTCTTGTGACAAGAAGATGACCAACACGCCCAGCAACCGAAAGCATCAACACCAGAAGCACCTTTGGCGAGTGCACTAAGACTTCAAATCAGACTAAGGGGATGCACGTGGCCACCTTGGGTTCCTTGGCCCCCGAGCTGCGCCTCGAGGCTCGTGGAGCCTTTGCTCTTGGGCCTTGCGAGAGAAGGTGACGAAGCTCTGTGCACAAGAGTCGCACCACAAAGCAGGCATAGTCCATAGTTCTTCTGATGGAGGCGATCCTTCCAACAGGTTAACCTTCGTCTGATCAGCACATCATGATCATCCTGCTTGGATTCGGTGCTCTATGCGGTTGAGCAGACAAACAAAAAATCATTTATCTGGGCAACGGCGTTGGCAATCACGCTGCATTCACTCGGGTTTGTCGCGATCAGAAGCAGATACTTTCTTGTCCGAACATCGCCGTTGACAGGGTGCGCCGAACTGCACTCATTTCGCGGAGCAGACGCCAACTTCCAACTGCCCTTTTCGCCCTGTACTTCGTCCCACTGAGCCAGGCGTGCAGCACCGTCGAGTCGTGCACAGTTGTGGCGCCACAGGGAAGATTAACAGTGTCTCAGCAAGCCTGGAGGGATTCGTTTTGTCTTCGGAGGGCTTCCAAACAGAACTTGGAGCAAGGAGACCATGCCGGACTTACGAATTTCGTGCAAGTTCTGACTTTTGCTTCGCAACGAGGAACTTGCCTACATCCAGCAGACCGTGCTCGACAAGGCAGGGTGTAGCAGCGGTGTTCGTAGGTACATAGAATGATGAGACAAGAGCTTGTGAGTGGTGTCTGTTGTGTCTGCAAACACTTTGGAGACTTTGAAGGCTCTTAGGTGTGATAAACCAATCGTTCTTGGCTTGTACCGGGGGCGCGGGGTCGCAACCCCTAGATGGCGTCGGGATTAGGGTAATGGGGATCCCTTTTCCTGCTTGTCCAGGGCGTCTTTGGGGAATTTAGTGCAGAGTTGTTTGTGACAAAGCTTTACTCTGTTGTACCTCTCGTGTACAACAAGGACTTGCTACTCGTACGGAACTTTGTAGGACTGGTAGGATGGCAGGATTCGGAGATGCAGCCTGACTGATCTTGCCAGTAGCAACGACCCAAACAACCAACGAGTTTCTGCGCATCTCATCCCCCCTACAGTTCGTAGCCACTTCTCAGCCTTACGCCGAAAGAAGACCAGCTGAGTCATACACTAAGTAGCGGCAGTTAGGCTCTTGCAACTTCTGCTTCAACGTGCTGCAAGGCAGAAAAGCTGCGCAAGAGCAGGGCATCGTTCTTCAATGAATCTTCGTCAATTCTCTGTAGCGCTGGTTTTTGACCCAACCTCGAGAGCGCGAGAGAGCGAGAGAGAGATCTGATGACTTCTTCTGTCGTCATGACATGTCTGCACCAGCTTCCTTGCATTGTGATTGCAATTTGAGTTGCGGAGACGCGCGATCGCTTGATGTCTGCATGCCCGATGAGCTGGACCATTTTGACGGCTCGTTTTGGATCACCGCATGCAGTGCCCAGGACCTGGCTTCCCCGCCAAAGGCCTTCGTCTGCCACCGGCTCCGTGGTGGTGGCGTGGCATCCCTGGAGGAGTGGCTCGGTGCTGAATTTGGCCTGGTCGAAGCCTCACAGCGAGGCATGTGTCGAAACTTCTGAAGAGTGCATCAGCGTGTCCGTGCGTGTGTGTGTGTGTGTGTGTCGGTCGGGAGAGCCGGGAAGGCTTTGAGCCCACCAGTCATCTGGAATGAACGTGGAGTTGTGGCTTTGGGCCTACTTGGAAGTTTCAGCATTGAAGTTGGGATTGAGAACTCCCAGATGTGAGTGAACCGGGCAGGGGATCTGCGTTGCCGAATCTCAGATCCAAATTAGCTTGAGCTTCGTCAGGTTTCTGCAGGAGGTGCGTGACAACGATGCTGCTTGTGCCTTGACATGCATCCTGCGGCGGAAGCTGTTCTTTCAGCTCGCATTTTGTTTGTCTCCTGCCAAGGCGTTGCTTTGAGCATCTCAGTTAGCTCTGATGGCCAAGATGCACTGGCTTTAGGCAAGGGCTGGGAGAATCGTTTTGCAAATAGCTAGACATGGCTCGACGAATAAAGCTTCCGTTTTTTTTCCGGAGCGACGGCAGAACTGTTCCCTGCACCCCGTCTCATTCCAGCAGGTCAGTTTACTGACCTCACCGGGGCGGTGACACACATGCAGCACTTGACGAGCTGGGTGGACAGCAATGCTACTCGGCGAGAACTTGCCCCACTGCATGTGCATGCTTTAGTGATTTAGCGTGTCTTGTCCACGTGCCTGCTTCGTGATCTCAGGGTGGCGATGGTGCCTGGCATGTGGTTTCGGTACAGATCCATGCGCGAAGCGCGGTGCTGAAGACACTTTCATCACATACCTCGCTGCCAAAGAAGCTGGAGGTCTGTCAGATGTATCCTTTGTCCTTCGAAGACTCTGACGCAACAGATCGGACGGCAACGATGGAGGAGTTCGTCTCGGATGTGGAGCAAGTGCGGCTGTATGCTGGAGCATCCAAAGCGACGATTGTTGGCCATTCTATGGGGGCGGCGATTGCGCTACAATATGCCATAAGTGGCTCGGTGGCACATGTTTGCCATGTGAGGTTGCCAGGTCTGCTCGTAGCAATCTTGATGCATGTCTCCAGAAGCCCTCAGGCTCCTCTTGCAAGAATGGTGTTGGATTTTGGGTTTCTGTTGGCAAACTAGACAGATGGGGAACATGTCGCGAAAGACAAGTGCAGGCCATCCCCATCGTGTGGAGCGTCTTTGCCTCTCGGCCGCCGCGCCCCGTGTGGGCCCGGCTGCCTACGAAAACTGGATGAGGAGACTTGGGAGGGTTCCAAAAAGTAGGATCGCACCCCTCTACCCTCCGGATTCGCCCACGCGCAACACACGTCGCAGGTTTTCTTAAGAATTGCCCGAAGACCAGAGCTTGCGCTTCCGTTGCGGCTTTTGTTTGCCGTTCCATCTCGTAACTGGAGGATTGCCAGCACCTACCAAGCCTGGAACCCGAATGTGATCCGCAGTACAGTCGCGGTCGTAAATGTGGCAGACGAGGCCATTCGGGCACTGGCTGCACCCACACTTCTGATTAATGCCAAAGACGACCAGCTAACACCCTTGATCGGGTCGGAGATGATCAAGTCCAATCTGCAGACTGCACTTCTGCACGTGCCAGAGTTTGGAGGGCACAGCAATTTGGTCAAGAACGATGCCTCAATGGAGCGTCTAACCCATTTCATGATCTCTGACGCGGCCATGATGTTTCTTACTGATGTACTCCTGGAGGAGCAGCTTCTGAGCAAATGGAACCTACCCAACGACAAAGCTTTTGTTCGTTACTACAACTGCGGTCGAGGCTTGGCGGAGATTGAGCGCCTCGAACGCAGCCTGCGACTTCTTCGATGGTCGTCCGGCGATCATCAGCAGGAGAAAGCTGCCCTGGGAGGAGACATGGCCAGGGTTCTGAGAAACTTGGGGCTCTCCAATGACACGGACGAAACGCCACGTGATCGGCTGATGGCAGAGATGATGAGCATGCTGGGTCGGATGTCTGCCCCGGCCAGGCAAGCTGTTAACAACTCTGGAGTGTGGTGGAGGGACGACGGAGCTGCCATGGGACTTCCCGACAAGCGAAAGTACAGCGTTGCCCCTGAGCAGGAAGCTTTTGTTCTGTTGTATGCTTTTGCGCAGGTGTTGATTTGGGAAGTGGCAGCAGAATGGCATAGTATTTTGATTCCTGCCGTTATACGTGTGAGTTGACAAAGCCGTATGGTCTTTCTGCTTGATGACTTCGGGTCTGCACTGAGGACGCCTGGGGCCGACGCAGAGGTGGCTGCAAGCAAGGCAACTGCTTCGTCTACAGTTGGGACCTCTCGTTGATGCCGCAGCTACTGCAGCGTGGGTGGCTGTCAGCTGGGCAGGCGGACAGATGAGTGGTAACAGTACCGTTCCCTTAATGCCTTAATGGCGAGCCCATTTCATGTCAGTGAGTGAGATCTTTGGCGACATGTTGTCAACATGCTGCAACAGGCTACTTCGCTTGGCTCCGACTTTTTTGCATGCTGGTGGTGCGGCGGCCCGCCTGCAGCCCACGAGGATCTTGGCCCAGCCAGCAAGGCGCGCCAAATGCAGTCAGGGAAGCAAGCTTGACGAGTCAGAGCCCCAGGGCCATAGTCCCGAGTCACGGTAGTCCGCTAGGAGGAATTGGCGGCGCACTGGCATCTCCAGGAGCCGGAGAAGGACAGCCTCTCGAGATCTCTTGAGAGATCGTCTGAAGCATTGGCACAGGCGTATGTCCGTAAGTTCTGCAACTGTCTCGAAGCAGCCGTGAACCTGGAGCTTAGATGCCTAGTGGCTTGTTGGCGCTGAGCATGAGGAGGCAGGCAGAGAGCCGCAGTGGAAACACATCGGCTATCCGCTGCATTACGAGCGCATCCTGATCGCCTTTTGAGTTGTCAGTAGGACTTTCGGGTTGGCCCACGGGACCTTTTGGCCTTTTCTGGCAAGGTGCGATGAAGGAATGAAGGCTCTCTCGAACGATAGTTGTGAGTGCTGCCTCAGAACTTCAGGCCTGGAAGCCGCGACGCCCCAGCCGCTTTCGGCAGCCTGAGTTTACGTGACAACCCGCAGCAAAAAAAGGTCCTTGCTTTGCTCGAGATGCAGGGAATTTCTGCGCCAGTTGCTTTTGTGTCAGGGTAGCTTCGTTCAGAAAGACTGCCCCTGGATCGAGCCGCTGAAGGCAGATGTGTGATGCTTTTGACTTGCTGGACGGTAGGACCAGTAGGACAGGATAACATGGGCGGGGTACGTGGCGCATCGTGGTACGGCATGCCTGAAGCGAGAGACTTTCCTGGTCTTTGTGCTGTCGTATGGAGCGTGGCTGAGCGGTCGCGCACTTGGCCCCCGAAGGCACTTGGCGCCTCGCGGCCAGAGCCGCGAAGCTGCACTCATGAGAGTTACGACGCGACAGGTCCGGCTGCCCAAGCTCCGAAACCTGCCCCGGAATGGTGGGTCGAAATTGAATACCGTAGTGCAACTTGTTCTGAGGGTAGCTTGGGATCGGGACCGCAAATTCGTCATGGAATCAGAATGAGGCTGAAGGGTCGCAAGACCATCCACCATGACACCAGCTGACATGCAACGCAGGCGGGACGATCTGCTAAGCAGCATTCACTTGAAGTACGAGGTCGCAGAAATTTCGTGGCAGCCTCATCCAACACAGTCCAGGATTCGAATCACCTGGACTGTCCTGAAGTTGGTGGCTGAGAGGTTACAGTGCAGCCCTTCGGGGATTCACGGTGGCTGAGGCAGTGGGCCCGGAACTGCGACCTTGTGGCTTTGCAGGCTCGCTCTTGAACATGAGCTGTGGCCGCTCCTTCATCGATACGACGGCTGCAGGAGGTGGATGCGGCTCTTCGCTCCACTCTCTGCCCGAACTCCGACAGCCGGGAACTCGGAGAGCTCAGCCTGCGAGCATCAACTTCCAGTGTGAATTGCCCAAGTTCCTTGCCGTGCACCGCCGGTGATTTCGATTCGACAGATGAAAAGGAACTACTGCGAACCACTCGCTCGCAGTCAATCCACTTCCATAGCTGGGGTACACTTTGTCAAGATAGACTTGCTGCTCACGGCTCACGGTGTGTGGAATGGCCTGTTGCTCCGATCGTTTCACAGAGGTGCTGCATCCTCGGACAGCGGATGCTGGGTGGCCAGCCGAAATTCTTGGACCTGACGACACGTTGTGCCACATCCTCCCAATGCTTTGCTTCTTGCATCTTCTTGCCGCCTCGCTTTCTAGGCAGCTCACGCCGCTAGACTGCTAGCTGCTATAGTCTATAGATGGGGCATGATTGATGGGGTCTCATATCCTGGCTGGCCGGGAGTCTGCCTGCCATGGCATTTGACAGCAGCTTCATGGGACTACCTCCATGAGATTCCATGAGCTAGTAGCCAACAAGAGGAGCCTGTAGCGGATTTCCTAGGTTCACTGCGTTCCAGGTGGAGAGCGCCTGGCACATTGATGGCCGCGGGGTGCGCGTGGATTCCACTGTGGCGATGTTTCTCCCTCCCTCTTCGCAGTTCGAGGTGGTTCGATGCCTGGCTGAATGCTTTGCATCGGTCCTGTTAGGCGACCGCTGTGCCACTCAGGAACCGACCACTGCGAGCTCAGGGTTCAGCTTGAAAGTGGGTGTCTCGAGCCAACAAGACTTGAGCAGAAGGCTTCGGAACATCTGCTTAAGGATCCTAGATGCCACACTTGTGCAGTCGAGGAGGTACTTCATGCTGCTGCGATTTGCATCTCTGGCACTGGGCCGAGGCGCTGGGCTGCACGAGACCACGTGGCGGCAGTCGTTTCCAGCGGTGGTCAGCATCTTGCAACAAGGCTGCAGCGGCTGCATTTGGGAAGTTACTTAGTTCCTCTGCGCCGGCAACATGGAGCTGAGGTAGTGTGCTCGGTACATCTGCACCAACGCGGATGCAAGAGCAAGGCGACTCGACACACCATGACCAGACGGAGCTCAGTTTGAACAGTTGGTTAGGCACATCACGACAGGCAGCGGTTCTTTTGATGATATGTGGCTTGTTTGAGCGTGGCGGACATCCTTTCAACGGGATTCACTTCAAGGCAGCTTACTTGGAGTACCTGGCCCCTTTGAAAGAGATGTTGCTCCTTGGCTTGTTTGATTCAATCACGCCTACCTAACTCAGTTTTTGGCGGAAGGTCTGTGACTGGCCCAGGATGCGTCTTGCAGAGGGGCCGCTGCCAGCAACCCTCCTTGGGGACGGTCGTGTGCACTTCTATATCACAGAATATGATGTGGCGATGTCGCTTCAACGGGGAACTCTGCAGCCCGCACATGGCACGCGCGACGTCACCCTTCTCGGAACTCTGGTAGAAGCATGTAGAAGCCATTCTTGGACAATGTCTGCAGGACTTCAACATGTCCCCGGCAGAGTTTGCTACTATGACGGAGGAGGACCCGTTTGGAGGCATGCAGAGGGCATGCTGGGTGGGATTCGCGGATTCTGGCGCGCGGGGCGGCTGTTGCAGGATGCTTTCTGGAGCGACTTCGTGGCCGTAGCTCCGATCGACGGTGCGAAGACGGCTGCCGCAAGCAACCCTTGCGGCTCGAACCAGCTATAGCCGGCCTAGCCAGGTTGCAACGCTGTCTGTGTTCCGGACTCGAAGCAAGCTTTGTAGTTTGAGTCGAGGCGAGATTGGCGACTTCATGCTGCACCGTGCTGGTGCGAGCTTGGCACGCCGCTTGAAGCCAAGAGGTGAAGCGACTTCACAATTCAACCTGCCACCATGCTGTGTTTCGTCCTTCAGGTCCTTGGCAGTGTTACGCCGAGGGTGATGGCTTCTCCGGATTTGACCGGTTTGGCCTCGCAGTGACTTGCCTTGAGTCATGTTTTTGCAGGGCCTTGGGCACGGCCACAAAAGCACAAAAGAGACTCGGCCTGGCCTGCAGGTCCTCGCCGATGCGCGGCGCCGGCTCCCATGGCTCCGAGCACAGCGTGCAGTCCAGGGTGCTGCAGAGGGCCTGGGGCGAAAACTTCGGGAACTGCAGGAGCTCAGGCTCTGGAGCTCAGGGCTTCCTGATCCGGCTGAGACTTGTAGCTCTTATGCAAGGAGCTGAGAGTGGGCCACTCGCAGCCACGGCGTCCCGCCCTGGCAGCGGCCCGAGCTCGCCCAGCAGGTCCCGACTAGTTCGCAACTCCACTTGATCCAGGCCCCCGCGCCAACTGCCGCCGCTGCACCGCGGATGTCTAGACCAGACCAGCGCTGGCGTCCGCCGGCACCCCCGCGCGAGGAGACACAGGGATTTCACTGCACGGGCACTCCCTGGTTGAGCCTTCTGAGGATGCCATGCTCTTGCGGATCGAGGCCATGAGCCGGCTGCGGTCAAGCCTGGACCGGGTCTCTTCGCATGTCCAGCGTACCGAGAGTGTATCCGGATGAAGACTCCGAAAGAACACCAGCGATCCGGTTCAGGAAGCTGAGAGCGATCAACTCCTGGCGATGTGGCGGCACGGGGAGGAAGGCGTGCTATTGTTTGTCGAAGACATCATCTCAACTTTTGGCTTTAGAATGTAGTGTAGCACTAGCAGCAAGTGTTTCCACACCAACTGCAGAAGTGGCAACGTTGCAAGCCCAAGCACTCTCAGCCTGCGTCCAAGGTGTGGGGAGAGAGCTGCCAAAGGGTTTGGACACCTCGGACCACAGGTGAGATGCTGTCCGGCTTGCTGAGCGTTTGGAGTCTGTGCGTCATGCTGGCATGGGGGCGGCAATCGTATGTGGAGATGATGCAGGCCACTCTGCTTCGAGTTTGTCGACAGCGACAACCAGACAGAGATGCAGCAAGACCACAAAAAGTCAGAAGCGAATAGGTGACTGAGACTCTGCTTTGCCGATAGCTGATGCGCTAGCATTTTCAGTGCTTTTAGGGCTTCTTGGCTTGGTCTAGGTCCTGAGTTTAGGTCAAGGAGTCGAGGTATTTTACTGATGGGTGGCGTGCTGCGAAGCTGAGTTTAGTGAACGCGAAGTCACCAGTTGTGCTTGGCTGAGTGCATGGGTCGCATCAAGCAAGATGTGCGGCAAGAAGTGTCGCGCAAGTCGGCATCCAGTGCCCACACAGTGCAGGAGGACGAAGAGTCTGGCCCGCCGTGCACGCTCGAAACCTCGAAGCCTGTTTTCCTGGACAGCGAAGTAGGCATGTACCACCAGCTGAGACTTCACTAGTCTGCAACCTGTGACCTACGGCCTGTGGGGCTTGCCATGCCTCCCAGCCCTCACCCAGCCCACACTCACACCCTCACCCCACACATGCACAGCCCACTCCGACCCCAACCCGACCCCAACCCTCGAGCCCAGCCCCCCAGCGTTTTCCCTCACTGCACCGAGCCGGACAGCAGGCCCCAGCATGCCACCACTGTATTTCCTTTAAGACTGGACTACGCGGACCATGCATGGAGCCTCCGCCTCCACTCCCGGCTGCTGGGCTGCGTCCCACAAGCTCTTCTCAGCACTCGAGGCGCCGAACCCCTCTGCAGCAATAGTCGAAGATGATGCCTTCAGCTGCAGACTCCGCACTTGCCATGCAATGCGAGGCGAATTGCTGGCGATTCGTGCAAAGCCACCCGCAGCTTAGCAGGGCGATCACAAACCGCAAGGACGTTGGTGCCGCCATGGCTAAAGGTTTTTTGGGGGTCAAACGCTGTTCAAAAGCTTTGAATAGTGCACCTTCCTGAAATGACTCCCGACCACATCTGCGCAGGACACCCTGACCAACCGGGAAGATTTCGAGGACACGGGCTTGCTGGACTCATGAGTTGTGAGCAAGTTCCAGCAATTGTAGGCTTCTGGGCTAGATGTAGCATCCACTGCAGTAGAAGCTCAGCGAAAGTTCGCCGTGGTCAGTGTCACTTATTCGGAAGTGCTGGGGGTCACGAGCTTGAGCAGAAGACTCACAGGAGATCGTGACCTTCTTGACATCAGTCCCGCTGTTCAAGAACCAGCTCCCTAGGTCTGAGCTGCCGAAGGCAGCATATCGCGAATATGCTGCACTGAAGGGGAATCTCTCAAGCTGCGTGTCATCCTGTTCATCCGTTGGAGCATCGAACACCAGTCCTCGGGAAGGTGGCCAGGAACCTCAAGCGGAAGGTATGGGAGCCTGGCACAGAAATTGTCAAGCAGGGAGACCTAGGCCGGGACACGTTTCTCACACAAGATTAGGCAACCGCCGGCAGACGAGGGAATCGGACAATGGAAGCTGTCACTGCTCGCATTTGCATGGCGTGTTTCTGCGACAGGCAAAGCCTTCTTCCTCATCATGTCTGGCGAGGCAGATGTTCTCACTCGGAGCGGTGACAGCTGCCACGACCATGTCCGCGCGACGCTGAGGCGCACCGGCAGAATTGCAGAATTCAATGTAGCTACAGCTAGCATGCCGGACTCCTGGAAACGTGGGGAAACAACTAGAGCAATAACGAACAAAGGTGAAGGTCTTTGCACCCACGAAAAATGGCTTTTCTGTCCATCCATCCATCCGTCCATCCATCCATCCATCCAGGCAGGCAGGCAGGCGTGTCAGCTCACACACATGCTAATGTACACACGCGCCGAGACATGCATACAGATGCCTCGTGGGCATATCATCTGCCTGAGCCTGCTTGAGGTAAACTGACAAAGCAGTTGTGCGATTCTGTGCATGTGTAAAATCCCTAGAATCAAAGTCTACTCACAATCTACGAGACCCTGACACCTCAGTAATGTGCTGCCGACTGTTCAGGAAGGGTGACTACTTTGGCGGAAGGACCTTGCTGGAGGAGCTGGCGTAGACAGATTTTGACATGCTGGAGATCCCCAGTTCCAAGAGTTTGAGAGACTACTGTACGGGTTGCTCACTTCGAATGCCTGTCTATGCATGTCTCCAACAGGAACGTAGCAACGTGGCGACGATCCGGGCTGGCAGCGAGGAGACCCGAGCCAGAAGCGTCAGCCTTGCCAGTTGGATAAAGTTCGAAAAACAAGGTGACCATAGCTGCCATAGCCCTGAGACATGACTTGTGCTGGCTGACCTTACTTGTAACAAGTTCCTGGAAGTCTTGGCCCATTCAGTCACTGATGCTGCAAGCACTGTGGAAGGCAAGCCTGGTGACTTTGTCGATGTCAAGAAGGACCTTCTATGACACAGGCAGCCAAGCAAACCTTCGCAGAGCTTCCATGGCCTATCATGGCATAGCTTCCGTCGCTTCTGGCAGCCTGGCAGGCATCGCCAAGTATTTGAAGTTTCCAAAGCGAGCCGCAATCTACAACGAGCATCCCACGGCAACAACTCCGGGGGAGCTCTGGCATGCAGGATGTAGCGAGATGCTCTAAGGGCTTTGCAGCCAGATCTGGGTGTGACGAATCACGGCGAGACAGCTAGCCACATCCTTCAGAACGGATCTCCATCCGAGGAGTACAAGTCCCAGAAGAAGACGGAGGAGGAAACGATGTTTATCGCTTGTGCAGTCCCTCGCCTGAAGCTGCCTTAGGGCAGCTCATCCCCCGGGCGGCGCGAGTTTTGTGTTCGTGTCCCTCTTGGGTTACGTGTACACTGTTTGTGCGGGCACTGAGCAGTTTCTGAGTTCAGTAGTAGATGGGGCTAGTTGTTGTGGCGTGGCTTTAAGCTTCCACGCCGAGTGCGAGAGCGGGGAAGGGATCAGAGGGAGGGAGGCCAGAAAAAGCGGCTGCTTTAAATCCCCCGAGGGAGTTTCAAGTTTATACTTTTGGCATCAACTCAGGCGTAAACTCCTACACTCTGTGGTGCTGGAGCAGAAGAGAGAGAAAAAAGAAGACACGATTCTCACCAAGCTAGCGTGCATGCGCGGTCGTTCCTCGCAGCCGCGAGAAACGAGGAACAGAGCCATTTCTTTCCCGAACCTGTTTCAGAAACCACCAGAGACAAGGACTGGAGGTTGCGCATAGACGGATTCCATGCGTTGATTGGTAGCATAAAGGAGTGATACCCGCAGAACCTGTAGAATGATTGTTGGAAAGACAGCGAAGTACTCGTAAGGAGAATCAGGACATGGTGTTCCGGTCAGGTCCTGTTTCTTCCCTGGACTCAGGTCAGAAACAATGCGAATCTGCGTGCTCTCATTCAAACGGATCAGGTCCCGAGGGTAAGGGATCAGTGTATTGGCAGCATTCACGCGACCATGGTGGCGATGGCAATTGAGCGCCTGCACACCTTCAGGAGCAGCTGAGAAAAATCGCAGCGTCTGCAGAGCGGCGGGTGGTGGAGAAAGGCGTTGAGGTCGCGAAGCGTGGCGAGGCCTGTCTGTTTCTCCTGGACTTAGTTTTAATTTCGGTAACCGTGGCCTTACTCTGTTCCATGATCTTAGTGGGGCATCCAATACCAAAAATGCTCCGTGTACCTGTGAGGTTGGTGACGAGTTCTTTATAATCCGAGAGGGCTCCTTCGACATCGTCCTAAGCCACCAAGACTGCATCAGGTTGACGGTTAACCGACGGTCTGCGTTGCTGCGACCCGAGCAACGATTCCCGTTCCCTTCGTCTTTAGCCCCAGCATGGCATGCTTGAAGCGGAAAGGCCTTGCTCCATGTGCAACAGCATGTGCCAGAGATCTCACTGGACTTTGAAATGACAAAACCGGCAAGCCGCCGGGGCCAAGCCAAGGCTCGCCCTCAGAGGCAGAACGAGCCTCCGCCGAGGATGGGGGCCTCACGGCCTCGCAACATTTTTGCGGCATCCTCCCTCCGCCAAAAATGGGGAGCAGGGCACCTGTGCCATCGAAGCTTGCGAACAGGAGCGTGTGGCTTTGACAACTATGTCGGAAAGATTGCTGAGGAAACAGTGGCTTGTTCAATCGATGGTATGCATAGTTGTGAACATTTCGCCGACCAAGTGGAAACTGTTGTATGTCCCTTCCGAGGCACTTTCTCCAGCTGCATGTCTGCAGTAGACATCCGCATACTTTGCTCGTCCAGTCGCCAGTCTTTCGAATCGTAGCCCAAGCCACTGACGGCGACTTCAGCTCGTGGCATGCGAAAACAGTGCGAAAAGAGCTTGCCACGACCACGGCCTGCTGCTAAGGACATTGACTCAACCTAGCCTTTGCCGGACCTGGGGTCGGACCATTTCCACTCTGTGTCTCGACTCTGTAACTGCAGACGACGTACTCTCACCTGCCTGCAGAAGTGCTGTGGTGGAATTGTCGGCTGCTGGTATGCTCACCGCCTTGCTGTAGCGGAGCAAAGCTTGAACCGGGAGATTACAGTTCCGACCTCACAAATCTCCTCAGTGGCCCAGGCTCTCCCCTAAGAGCGGTGTGGAGGCCTGCGCAGAAGATGATCATGCATGCTCATGCCGGGTTTGCAGCTGTCGTAATCATGGACACAGGCACGAGACACTTTTCCCGCTAGAAACCACTTTGGCCTGACCAGGAGGATGTGCCTGCTTCTGCGGACATGTTCCTCCGTGGAGTTTCTGGGCCTTGTGAGGACTGCTCGGCTGTACCTATGGGCTTGCTGTGAATCTGCTGACTTGCATGGGGTTTATATTGGCTCGACCCTCTATCCTCTATCGCTCGATGGCAGCTTTATTTGCAGGCGAGTTGTCCTCTCCCCTCCAAGATACGCCTGCCTTCAAGCCATCATCACAGCAGGCCCTGCGGCCAAAGCTCGGCTCACCGAAGCGCTCCAAGGACAAACGTGTGCGTCGCCAGGATGCAGGGAGTGGATGGGCCGTGGGGATGATGCTCTGAACCGCTTTGGGTCTTTGAAGTGTCTGCCAGTCCGTTGAACACTGTTGAGCTTTGCTTTGAGCAATTTCAGTGGCAGTCCCGAGGCGGCCACACAGATGGGGCCAAGCACTTCGTTGCGAAGTCCTTGACCAGCTTCAAGGGCATCAAGGTTCTCTGCATTGCCCGGGTTGCGTACACTTCACATCACGTCACCTCGTTCATGGCAGCATGGGCCGGCTTGCCGGTCACGGTGCTGAAGTCCACCAAGTTTGGTGTTCAAAAAGTCAGCCCTACAGTGCCAGTATAGCGCTCTGCTGCATAGCGTTTGCGCTTGAGTATTCTTTGCAGCGATGATTGATTGGCACCACATGGAGGAAGTGCCAGACCTCGTGGTGCCCGATTCGCCCAAGAGCGACGGACTTGATGAGGACAGCTGGGCGTCAGTGCCGAGGATGTGCCAATGCATCATCACAATTCTAGAAGAGGTCCTAAGTTAAGCTTATTCTAGGCTCCAAGAGAGCGGGGAGGGGATGGCGTGGCTTGGGCCGCGACGCTTGCAGAAAGGAGGCGATGCATGTTTTGACAATTGTACCAACTCGACGCAGATTGGATGGGTCCGTGAGCCCTGAGCCTGAGGAAAGAAACGAAAGATAGATCGAGACAGATAGAGCGACAAAGGGGAGACAGAGAGTGAGATGGAGCATGTGAAAGAAAGTGATTGAGGCAGAGCTTCGCAGTTTCGTCATATCTATTACACAGCGTTGCCTTGTTCTCCTCAGCTCAAGACCCAGGAGAAGATGTTGGAGCTGTGGAGCGTTGCGCTTGTGATGTCCTCTGCTTGAGTTTGCCGTCTGTGCAGGACAGCACAGCCAGTACCAGTCCGATGAGCAAGTTCGAAGTCCTGGGAGAAGGAGATAGCTTTGGCCCGAGACTCAGGTGGAGTTTCAACGTGTATTGAAGCAAGCCTAAGCACCGGAGCCGAACTTTTTTTGTGGACTTTGGGTCCTGAAGGCGAGCTTTCCCTCCTCTACAACATGCGACGTACCACTGCGGCATTGGGAAGATCACGTGCGGTTTCGCGCGCACTCTGTCCTCGTTCAGGAGAGGCGACCTTTCGTGCCAGGGAGACCTCCATCATCTATGCGGTGCCGCGAGACTTTGCTTCAACTCTAAACCTTCCGGGTCGAACTGTTAGGGTATCCTGCAAATCTTTCGGAATCAGTGTTGCTTGTATGGAGTCTGTGATCATGCCGTCAGATAATGGAAGAAAGTGACCTTAAAGTGCCTTAGAGTGCCAGCATGCTCTGAGTCCACAGTTCCTGCCTCGGTACCGTCACGGCTGAGGACGTGGCTGGGAATCCGCCTTCAGCCGAAAGGGGCTGCTGCCTGAGCTGCCTCAATCCGTAGAGGGCCATTTCTGAGAGAAGGCCGACGAACCATAATAATAACCGTGATCATACAACCCACCTCTCAACTAACAATGAGACGTGGACGCGGCCTCACCCAAATCGTCGGGCCAATCGAGTGCACCCTTAACGAAGCCGTGGAGCTCAGGCCGCGTTTTGATGAGTACGGAGCGTTACTCGAGGAGGTGGGGATGCCTTCGTTCGGACGTAACATTCGATAGCCTGTGCTCCGGCAGTGAGTTTCTCAGTCTGACTCGGATGACAGCACCATGACAGGTCCACGCGCTTGAGCCCTTGGTCAGCTCCGAACGCTACGAACTTGCTTGTAACGCTTCAGGCCGGGACTTGGGGTTTGCGAGAAGGGCAGAGCCATGTCCATAATAGGAGCGACTACTCCAGGCTTTGTCCACTTCCCTGCCGGTGAGCGCGTCATCGCACAGGGTAAGGTGAGACAGGCCAGGCAATGGCTACTCTTCTGCACAGTGCTTGATTCAAAAGCTCGGCTTTTACCGCTGACTGGAATGCTGCAGATGCCAAGGTATGTCATTTATGCTGGGAGTGCTGTTATGACCCCTTATCTGCAAAAATGACTCGGCAGTTAGCTTTGATGATCGCGGACCACTACCAGCTACAAGATACCAGAACCCCCAACCCAAGGACTTGGGATCGTCCCGACGGCACTTCAGTGCAGCTGGCGGAGGCACGCCAGAACGCGTGGAAGCGCAGCCAGCGGAGGAGAGCATGGGACGCTCTCTGCCGCTCAGGTGGGGCGTCCCGGCTGCTTCGGCGAGCGATCGCTCCTCCGAGGTGCACGGCATAGCAGGGAGGACGTTGCCTTTGCTTCCTCAGCAGGGTTACTGGCCCTTAGCTTGGTGAACCTTCCACGCCCTGCACGTGGGTGTACCTGAGTACGATAACTATCAGAGGTCTAGAAGAACCCGTGCATTGCTAACAGGGGATGCGGCCTACGACGTGAATGTGACAGCTGGTGCGAATGGCATGACCTGTCTCACGTTTAACGGCGAGACTATCCGCGTTCTTCTAAGCAGTGCCCCGGGCCAGTTTTGAAGCCTAGGCAGGCAAAGGGAGGCATTGTTCCAAATGTTAATTAGCATGGGCTAGTTGCACGACCTGGTCAATTGCCCGGCGATGCCAGGAATATACAATGATTCTCCTGGATTCATTCCAGCACCCCGGCAAATGACTGGCCAGGCTTTGTGTTTGAGTCTTGTGACTTTGTCTTCCAGCACCCATCGGACCCGCGGCATAAGGACATCCATGCGGACGTCGAGGAATGGTGCAAGCTAAAAGCCCAGCACGCAGCCGAAAGGCGAGACACGATTTCTGTGCCAGGGACAGCATGTTCCAGATGGACATTCCAGCTTTGCCTGCTCACTCCCTGCCGCCAGCAGCGTGGTCTCCAACTCGATGGACTTTGCCGTCGGGCAGACATCTGTAGGCTGGTGCGGCAGACATCTGACTCAGGAGAACAAGCTTCGGGGCTGGATCTAACTGCAACATCTAGGTACTAGTGACTTCGATTGCTTTTGCTGCAGGTGTTGGCAGAAATCTTGACGGCTATGCCAAGTTACTTGAAGGAAGACAGACTTGCCGACGCAGTTTTGCAAACAGAATAACCCGGCTTATCCGAGGTTGCAAGTACTGGGGCGAGGGGCCTATGGCGAGGTGTACCTGGTTGAGGACGTCCGTGTTTGCACGTGCCTGTGTGTGTGTGTGTGTTCCTGAAGCAAATGTAGGCCTAGTGAAGTACTTCGCAAGCGCTATTGTTTCGATTACGATTCATGAATGTTCTGTGACGTTGCAAACACAGGACACGATCCGAAAAAAGCATTACGCGCTGAAGGTGCCGAGCTAAGTCCCGGCGAAGCAGCAACACCTCTCGTGCTGTTCTCCCTTGTGAGGGGCCCTTGTGTAAGCTGCTGGAGCCAGGTGATGTCAAAAGGACATGTACAGCGCAGCGGAATTGTGCGCCAAGTGCGCTGGGAGAGGGAGCTGCTATCCATGTTGGATAGATCCCCGGCAGCTTAGTGTTTCCTTGGGTCGTGGCGCTTTCTGGATGGAGATGTGTGTGTGTGTGTTAGTGCTCTCACGTATGTCAGAGTTTGGTGCGGTTGAATGCCTGGCAGCTTATCGGTGTCGCTTGCGCGAGCAAATTCAGGCAAATTCGTCATTCGTCTCCATCGGACGAGACTCCTTGGCAAGCAGTCACGATGTGCTGCGAGCATGAAGCCAGTATGACTGTGCTTTTGACAAGCATGCATGCTTTATCGTAACAGCTTGAGTTTTCAGAGCGCTCCACAAAGGATGTATGATTTCCAGCACATTTACATGTTGCTGGAAGTCGCCTTGGGCGGAAATCTCATGGAGCTACTACATACACGGCCGCAGGCAAGTGGACGGTGAACAGAGTGCAAAGCTTGTGGAGCTCGGAGTAGGCTCGACCTGACGAGCAGGTGTTTCTGGAGGACACGCCGCGAGGCTATGCGACATGTTTCTATGCCGCCTGCGTCACCGCGGCTGCTCGGCTTCAAAGACAATGAACATCCCTCACACTCTATCGAGTTTGATCTTGACTGGTATATATCGCAGACGCGGTCCTTCATTCCACTCGAAACTGATAAACGTTTGAGGGTTCCATGGGGTTCCAAACCTTAGCAAGGGGACGAGACGAACGGGCACATGTGGTTTTTTCGCGGAGGAAGGGGCGGATGGTGGAGGAATGCCAGCTAACCAACAGTGAGTCCTTGGAAGCCATGTCGGAATCATCTCGTTCAAGGGTGTTTGACTCTTCTTGACACGTCAGAATCCATTGAGCTCTCGCGCATTGTATACTCTTTCATTGAAGCATCCCGCAACACTAGGGACGAATCTATATAGTGAGTAACCTGCACCTCTGCTTTGGCGGAGCTACTACAGGTTCTACTACAGGTTGCATTCCCATGAGGAGGTTTTCCTTGAGAGGAAGAGCCCGCCAAACGCGAGTTGATAGTAATGGGAGCCGTTTGTACCATGAGTTTCTTAACTTGATGACTTTTCAAATGTGTCTACATGAGGAGTTCCGCATCTTGGGAGTTCGAGGAAGCAGGTGAGCCCGTGCGAACCCGCTTGCATGGATAAGGCTTCGCCAGCACCCGTAACCAAAAGCGAAAGAACGGCCATGGTTCCTGGTGCTGTTGGCAAGATCAGGGCACAAACGTTCGAAACATTTCTAAGCCGCTGTTGTTGCTGCAAGCTGCTGCCCCCCGCTTTAGCATTGCTGCTGTGTGATTCAACGTGTCCATGTTGACGAAAAAGCATCTTTTGCAATAGTGTTGGCCGATGACGCCTGTCAAAACGTCGGCTCCAGGCTTTGGAGTACCTCCACGAGCGATCCATCGTCCACCGCACCTCGGATGTGTACTTGCAGTGTATCAACCTTCGACGACCTCCCGGTCAGCAACCATCATGACCATCCAATGCCTTTGTGCTTCAAAACCGTCTGAGCAAGGCGACATCAAGCCCGAGAATGCTATGCTGGACGAGTGTCTTGGCAGAATGTCCAGCGGCTAAGCAGCTTACTTGGTGTCAGTAGTGGGGTTGTGTGGATGCATGAAGTGAAGCCTTCGTCGAGTCTCATGCTCGCCTGTCTCTGCTCATCGGTCATGACGGAACCCGACTTGCATCCGCTGCTCGCTTCCAAGGCACGGCTATGCGAAGCTCTGTGACATGGGCTTTGCGAGATTTGTGCTGCGGCTTCATGCTTTTTCTGTCGGTTGTCATTTGTGGCTGGTGGGAAATCGGATGGAGCGAAGGAAGTGGCCCCCGGACTGTCAGATGAATGTGTGCAGTCACTCGAAATCTGCACTGTGCCAGCGCCCCGTCTTCCAGCTTTGCCGCCAGGTGCTTAACAAAACCAACACTTTAGCTGGCACGCCGGAATATCTGGCGCCTGAAATGATCGATTATCCGCACGATCACGATCTGGCGGTCGACTGGTGGGCACTGGGCGTCATGGTTTACGCTGCTCGCCTTCCAGCAGTAGGGTCGAATGGTAAAGGGTCCGGGTGGCAGACTTTGCTGCAAGCGCACAGGACACGAAAGCCGGCAGCAAGCCTGGCCAGCTCGGAAAGTAGTTAAGACAGTGAGTGGCTCACTTGAGTGCAAGACGTCGACGTCAGGACGCGCCCCTTGGAGTTTAGAATCACCTGTTGTTACTCCAAAAGAAAGAAGGACGATCTCGCGAGTGACATGTTCTTTGCGACCGGAGCTTCGCTCTCATGCTCGAAGTTCCGAAGTCACGAGAAATCCCATACAAATCGAATTCACTCCAGCAGGTTCGTAGCATTCTACTGCATGTACGCACAGAACAGATGCCACACATCTGAGCATGGATGCTCCCATGGAAGATGATTTCTCTATACTTGTCCGGGGCATGTCCCTGAACAGAGAAGAGGTGTCACACTCTCAATTGGCTTCCCTTCCTCCGGGCAGTATCCTGCACCTTCCGTACGACGAGGCCGTTCAGCAAATCGAACATGACCTCCTTCGAGCGTGTACTGCAGCGGAAGGATACGAGCTCATCGAAGCATGTGAGCTGCCGGCAGACCTTGTGGATGTTTGCATTCAGGTTTCGCAGCCAGACTGTCGTGATGACACTTGGGATGCCGTTATGTACAAACGGATTTCCAGCTCCTGGCGGTACCGACGCTCTGAACTGATTTGGTTAGATGACAAGCTGGAGCAGGTCAGCAGGGTGGCAGAGCTTCTGGGGAGTCCCCTGCACCTGCCCGTGCTGGCATATGCAGCCGCAGGCAATGCAGAGCAGGAAAAGGCCTTGCAAATGGCCGTGATCGAACGCGCAGATAAGGGCGAAGCCATAGTTCTGAAGCCACGGCACGGTGCAAACTCTTGCTTTGTCAGCCTTTGGCCGCAACCACAAAATGTAGACCATTCCCAGCTGTTGCAAAGCCTCGCAGAGGCCCTCTATGCCGAAGACAGGTCCTGGAAGAAGGAATGCTGGCAGCTTTCCCAGGTGCCCCACGGGGCGATTCTGCAGCCCATGTACTCCATCTTAGTTCCGAAGATGGAGGATGCTGGGCCTCGCGGTCGCGACGCCCCGATGGAGCTGAAGGTCCAGGTTCTCTTCGGCTGTGTCGTAGGCGCCACCCTGAACACTCACCCGGCCCCGCTTTGGGTAGCCAGCAGCGGAGTTATCCAAATGTGGAAGTTCCAGGATTTAATTGTGCGCGGTCAGGTCCGCTGCAAGACTCTTGACCGCTGTTATGGACGCCATCCTCCGAAGGAGCTGTTAAGCAGGTTACAGGACGTGTTGCGATCCTCCTGGCCCTTCATCCGCGACTCGTCTGAGCGCATCTGTCGGACTGCTGGCCTGGACGAGCTGCGTGTGGACTGGCTGCTGGGGGATACAACTTGGGGTGCACGGGTGGGCGAGCTGACGTACATGGGCGCCGGCTCGCGCATTACGCCTCCCCTCTCCATGCGCTTGGCTCGGACGTGGGCCGCCGCACATTTACTCCGCCTCAAGCGCTTGAGGCTCTTAAGGCTAAGCCATTGTGACGAGAGCGAGAGCGAGAAGTGTCCAGTGCCCCTGTGGCCTCGGACGGCAGAGCGAGGCAAGAAGGTTGCAGAAAAAGCACAGAAGAGGGTGCAGACAAGGTGAGAACGGAGGCTCGAGGTAATGACCACGCACGGATTGCGAGCGGTAGCAGTCACTCCCTCAGGGCTTGGCACCTAAGTGGGATCCGTCAGAAGCGAGGACATGCCTCAGAGCTCGATGACTCAGGAACTCTTGGCTGGCCAAACACCATTCCACGACGAGGGCATCGCAGATCCCATGGCCGGGGCTCTACCGAAAAGTGTTCCAGGGACCATTTGGCGTGGGTGCTTCGAGGACAAGACAGGTCTTGCAAGTTGATGCTTGCAAGCTTAGGAGAAGCAGGGTTTCTGTCGCGATCATGATATCCTAAGATCTCAGCAGCTTTGAGCGGAAACCAACCCTCAAGATCTTCGGTGCCTTACTCCGAATGTTTGCTGGCTGCATTGGTCAAGTTCGCTAATCCGGCCTTTGGCCGTGCAATTTCAGCTCCTAGATAGCAACTGCATCTCAATATCGTGCTACCTACTTGTTTCAGGTACAAGTTTGTTCATCGTTCAAACATTATCTGTGCAACGTGCTATCGGCTGTCGCCTCAAGCTCGTTCAGAACTCACTCGGGCGTGAGTCTGCAGTCGACAAACGCTTTAAATGCGCTTCGGATGTTGAACTTCTGTTGGATTTATTGCAATTCTGGCTTTGAGCCAGCCTGAAAAGCATAGTTCCTCGAAATGTATCTTACAGGGGTCGTGTGTGGAGGGAGCGAGCAAGCACCTGGCATCCCAATTTCCCGGGATGTACCCACATGCCAAAGCCCAAGCGGCCGTTACAACTCTTTGAGACTTGCAGGCGCGACTATTGGCCATTCGGCGGAGTCAGGAGGAGGCTATGCAGGAGTCGAATGACTGTATTTGCCCCTGAATTCGACGCTTTGTTGTAACGTACATACTCGGTATGACTTGAAACTGATGCCCTCATCCAGCGGCAGGATGGCATATGCTTTCCCTTCCACTTCCCGAGCCCCTTGGCTGCGGTGGATGCTCCTCCCGGGGTTTGTGACAACGGACGCCATGCAGATAGCTGTCTTGCTTTGAGAACCCGAATCCTGGCAAGGCCCATCCAAAGGTTTCGTCCAGGACGCCGCATCGACCTGAAACGAGCCAAAAACTGATGGAAACTTATGATACTTAGTTAAACTCAGCTCAGGGCTCGGGCAGGGTGTTGCGTGAAGTTTGTCCACGTGCCTGCTAGACCGCCGTGGCGTATCTGACCTGAACGAAGCAGTTGCGGCATTTGCAGGACTTACTTCGGCGATGTCCGGACAGACTCGGATGCCGGGGCGGGTCTCGAGCCGTGCAGCAGCACGACGTCTTCAGGCTCGGGCTGTGGCCACATGCCCTTGAGCGCTCTGATGGCCTTTGGCAGTGTGAAGGCTGAAGAAGTTCAACTTTGCAGCACTGTACGAACGCAAGCTGCCGAGCCCTTTCTCTCCAGAAGTGGACATTCCCGAGGTTGGGCCCGAGCACTAGGGCTCAGTATCCTCAAGTGGAGGGCATGCCTCAGCATGCCAAGACTTGCGGCATTACTGTTGGCTGACCTGCATGACGTGCCAACAGCAAGAACCGTCAAGCCGAAGCCAACGTTGAGTTGAAGGTTGGCGCCGACGCCGAATCTGAAAACAGTTTCACTCTCGAGCGCCTCGTCCAAGTAATTACTGTGTTGCTGCACCAAGGCTTGGAAGGGTTTTTGGGGGTTCCAAGGGGCGATCGAATTGGGCTCTAAAGGGCTTGCTGCAAGACCTTGGGGATTACCATCACGTGGCAGCCGCTCAAGGAAGGCAGCTGCAGTAGCAGCATGTTGAGCTCCGTGTGACTCTTGCTTCTGAAGTCCGTGCAAGGCATCACTCTTCGCTGTATGCTCCTGTCGACAACTCGGAAGACACTTGCCATAATTATGTATACGTTGCCAGATTGGAACATTTCGTTGGGACGCAGCAGGTGAAGTGCGCGCAAGTGCTGCCCGTCTAGATGCCTCTAGATTCTGACTCTAGATACTATGGACAACATTTCGGGTCATGTGGCTCTTGGGGCAATCAGGCCAGGCCGAAAGTGTCAATAGAACATTCGCAAGCAGAGAGACCAGTGCCTGAAGTGAACTGGAATCCTTGAAACCTACATGGACAGAAAGGTTCGGGAAGGTTGGACCAAGCCTGGGAAACACAAAGCAAAGTTGGACCCTCTGCTCTTACAATCTGCATTGGGCCGTTCTCTCGACGCCAAAGTGGCAACCGGCTGTGATTGAGGGTGGAGGCGGCGGAAAGAGCGGTTGGCTGCATTCCAGTCGGAATATGTTTGGCTACCGTATGCTGCAGTCTACACATACAATCGATCCAGCACCCACATAGCTCCGCACCCACTCAAGAGCTTGCTTGGCATGGGTTCGAGTGTAGTGCCTTTTCACTCATGGGTTTGGCGGTTGAAAGGGCTCAGACCGGATCCGCTTGGAAGGCAGTGTTTGGGTTTGTTTTGTCCGCGATTCGTGATGCTTCGGTTCACTGCAGCTGGCCTTGAGCAACAATGGCCTTGAGCAACAATTCGTTCTACGCTTCTTGAAGCTGCCCTGCCACCAAGGAGATTTGCATCTAGCTGCGCCCGCGTGAAGTTCTCCCGTTTTAGCTGTGGGCGGCTTCCCGCTCGTGTTCTTGCAGACCTGCCCTGAGCTTGGGAGCCCCGCGACAGGAGGGTGAAGCAAGTGCATGGGGCAGATACAGGCTTCCAGAAAAGTGAGGGGCAACTGCAAACGAAGATCACGCAGTCACACTTGTTGCGCGCGGCATCCGCACTAAGTTCTGGCCAGGGCACCGTTCAATAGTGCAGCAATCTGCAGCTGAATTGGCTGCAGAATCAAAGATTCAAGAGTTGTTCAACAAATCAAGCGGCGACTTATGGTTCAGGACATCAGGACACCAACATAAGCTGTCGAGTTACTACAGGCAGCGGATTGGAATCTTTGGGAGACTGCACAGATCCCGAATTCCAGAAGCCGTTTTATCGACTCAGGCTGATTGGGCTTTCTAAGTGTGCAGTATCTCTTTTTGGTTGTCATAGATGCAGCGTTCTGTTCCAAATACCGGACAAGACAGAGAGCCTCGTTCGCTGTCGTTTTTCGTGTGTTGAGTCTACCAGCCCGCAAGCGAGCCACTTAATCAACCTGGGTAAGATCTGGCTTTCAGGCTGGCCTCCTTTGCACCACAGACGTTTGTCCTGGAGGCAATACCACTGTAAAGGACTGTGGGAATTTTTCAAAGTCGGGTGCAGGCCCCGAGTCATGGGTGCTTTTGGATGCCCTGATATGCATGGCCTCGGATGGCCTGTCCGTGGCAAAGCTGCTGGCGGCATGTTGGCCAATCCTGCTAAGTCAGGCCCTGGAGGATGCCAACTTCCAATGGTAGAACTCACAAACGAAGTTTATGTTATGGCTGTGTGTTCTCTGAGCAGCAGCTGCTGGCCCTGCAGCTTTTGGACTCGTGCAGAAGTGACACCGTTACTGTTCTCTTGAGACCTACTTGTGTAGAGGTGGCCACTTCTTCACCGACGAAAAAGTCAAACTCCATGATAACTCTTGATTGCGGCGATGCAAAAGAAGCACATGGGTTTCACAGCTTCATAAATCACTTTTAGGGGCACCACCCACGCGTTGCCCCGATGCTAAATCGCTTGGCTGACAAAGGCAGCGAAGGATGCGCCCACACCTGCCGCGTCATCTGCCGCTATGCTGCACGATGTCCCACCGCAGTTCGTCTGCGCTTGTATGAGTATCTGCCAGCACTGTAATATTGATGCATGGCATATTGCATGTTGTTGTATAGTGTATAGTAATGTATACAGTATTATGCTTGATGTCTTGCATATTGTAAACTGTCTAGTGTACACTGTGCATTGTATACGGTAACAATGCACTGCCTGATTTGATGTGCATTGATTTGCGTTGTGCAGTATGACCTCGATTGTGTTGTATTGCATCATGTTATTCTACAGTATTTGCTGTGCTATTCTGTTCTCTTCTATTCCTTTCTGTTATATTCCATGCTAGTATATTCTCTGTTCTGTTTTATGGTTGACAGTTGCCATGAAGACATAAATGCGCACATGCACACGTTTACAAGTATATACGTACACATATACACACACGTACATGTACACATGTATACATGATGTATGTATGTATGTATGTATGCATGCATACATACATACATACATTCAGGGGTTGTTTCAGCAGTTGCTCGACAAAGTAGACACAGAGTACTGAGTTTTGAGGGTCGGTGAAACCAACTGGCCAAGTTCCTGGGGATCGTGAGGATCCATGCTGCCTTGTGCGTAAAGCGCCGAGCTGCTGCTTCAGTCGTCTAGTCCGCCTGGTACCTCGCCAGACTCGTCGAGTGCGAGTGCTAAAAAATTCATACATACATACACACACACACATACATCCATACATTCTTGCATACATACACATGACACGAGCAAACGCGTAAGCTGCACATGCACATAAAGACAACATGCACAGGCACATGCGTAGACTCATGAATGCATGCATGTGTGCATATCCGGCTTGTTTGCTGCTGAATTTGGCTTTCGTTCTGAAGCCGCAGTATTGGAAGGCTCGAAAGGAGCCCGCTGTGTCTAGTTGTGCCGCCGTCAACCTCGCCTGACCTCGTCGAGCGCGAGTGCCAAAAAATGCATATTTACAGACAGTGAAGTTGTGTGAACCGCCCTTTGCCACACATGCATATCTTAACTGCACATCCGGACCGCGCTTGGGCTCTGTTGAGGAAAGGGATTGCTTTTCTGAGTTTGGTAGCGGAGCTACGGGTGCAGTCTGGGCTGCTGGCCGAGGCCAGCTTCTCCGTTTTTCGAGTACCAGGAGTTGCACCACGATCACCAAACGACCCCCCCGCAAGAACCAGTTGCGCAAAATCCACCTCGGTCCATTGCCTGTTCTGCCTTTTCTTGACGACGGGCGTCCTAGTGCCCGAGACTGTTGCGGGAAACCATTCGGAAGCAGCGTCGCAGAATTCGATAACAGCCGGCGAGGACGAAACGATCCAGGACTACCTGTGCATTCTCGTGTGCAACAAGGCAAAGGACGACGACGGCGAGAAGGAAAAGATGGCTGTGCCTCGAACGGGCATTCCTCTGGGCGAGTACCGGCGTGATATTCCCCCTGGCTGGGGGCTAAGATTCGCGGTCTACCCGCCGAAGACCTTCGAGAGACTCAAAGTTTGGTGCCGCCCGTACGATCTGCCGGACGAGATAGTGGGCCCATTGGTTGCCAGCAGGCTTCAGGGAAAGGCTCAGAAGTTGGCGCTTCGGCTTCCCACGCCTTGATGAGGCTGCCGGTGAACGAGGTGAGAGACCCGCAGAACCCTCAGGTTATTTTGCGGCATCGTATCCCCAGCGGCATCCACGCCCTCGGCGACAAGCTCCGAGAAACCTTTGGCCAGAACGATCAGGAGATGGCTTCGACAAGCCTCGAAAGCTTCTTCGAACTGAGAAGAGGCCGCTTGTCGCTTCAGGAGTATGCCGTTGAGTTCGACCTGAGGATAGAGGAGGCGCATGATCGAGCTGGGCTAGAGATGAATGAGGTTGCCCTCTTTTGTTTCTTCTTCGAGAAGAGTGGCCTCTCTTCGCGTTTTGTGGAAGATTGGAAATTTTGTGTTCATGGAGATCTTCGCCGCTACTCAGAAGCTCGCAGCCTTGCACTTCGCCTCAGTACCAAGGTCGAGGGCGAAAGCTTCTACGAAGATGATGCGACGTCGGCTGCCCCCTCAGTGGACAGCAGATCCTGGGATTACTGGGGTGAGGAATGGAACGAAGAAAATGAGGACGCATGGTCCTCGTGGTACGGCGAGGAGGACAACGGCGACGCGATGGAGGTGCACGAGGGCGACTGGCCTGAGAATGATGAACATGCCGAAGAGCAGGTCGCTGACGGGGGAAGCCATGTTCTTTGGTCTCATCGGGCTAAAGCCAAACGAGTCTCGTACAGTACTTCCAATCGGCGGCTTGGAGACTGTGTCTCTGGTGACAATCAGGCTGTCCACTGAGCTATATCATCCAATTGGGCAGCCTACACTTAAGGACCTCACGGAGATTCAGGAGAATGGCAATACGATGTTGCCAGTGGATTGCCCGACGGACTGCCGCGACTTCTACGAGCTCACCACGGGAGAGCGTTCCCTCCCCCAAGACAAAGACCAAAGGCTCTACATCTTGGCACACAAGGAAGCGCGCTTCTGTGGGCGCATCAGATGGATGGTGTTGGTTCCTACACAAAGTACGACGGCAGAGGCAGAGGCAGTGACAAAGCCAATAATTGCACCGCCGTTGCTCTTCCTGATGTCCTGCGGCATGGTTCAGTTCAAGAATGAAGAAGGACATCCTCTCCTATTTCGGCGACTAGCTGTACTACACGACTACGACGAGGACACGATTCTGAAGATGGACGAGAACCTGATCAAGAACTTTGTCATGTTCATGCCGGTGGCATCCCAGAAGGCTCCAAGGGCGATGCTTGTGACATCTTTGGTGATGACGCAGATTGTGGCGAGTCAAGCTACTCGACTTTCTCTACCAACACGGCACCGCCATCTTTTGGTTCCTCACTGTGGTGATCATCATCCAAACGCAGAGACTGTTGATCCATAGCGGACGTGGGATCTGGCCCGGTCTACTTCGTCTTCGGCAAGAACTTCATCGACTTCTACGTCTACGCAGACTGAGGCCGCGTACATCAACACGTCGCCGAGAACCGGCGCAACGTCAATGAGCTAAAGCTCCGTGATGATCGCATTCATGATCAGATCTGGAGATGCGACTTTCGAGCATGTGTGAAACGGCCGAGCTACGTCTTCGACTTCGTGAATGTGAGGGGCGACGCAAAAGGTTGCATGAACGGAACAAAGATCACTATGGTACATGTCCAGCTGGATGCACCGTTTCCTCTGCCCCGCATTCAACGTGCTAGCACCGCAGTCCGCAATGCGGTCAGCTGAAGCAGGCTTCCAGCATTCGCACAGTCATTCCATGCTCGTAAAGAGCAGATGTTCCCTGATGTCTTTAGCACGGATAGCGACAGAACAAGAGCGGAGTGAAGTTGTGTGAACCGTCCTTCATGAATATCTTAAGCTGCACATCCGAAGCGTGCTTGGGCTCTGTTGAGGAACAGGGATCCCATTTTGCTTTTCGGAGTCATACATACGTACACACATAATCACGCATACACACACAGAGACATGCATGCACGATGTACGTGTTTTCCTCAAGCAATGCCAATGCATGCTCCATGAAGGGTCACACCAGTACCAGCAGCTGGTTTATGCAGCCTCGCAAGCATTCTGATTCAAGCTGAGGCGTCGCCAGCTGCACCCGCAGCCGAGCAACAGCAACCCACCGAGTTGCCAATGCTTTGCAAGCGAATTTCCGTATCAGCAGTGAGTTGCAAGCTTCGGATCACCGAAGCCGTGCATGTCGAGGCAAGCCGGCGCGCCATCCACGCGGACGGAGGCTGGCCGGCTGGCAAGATTTCAACCGGTGAGTGGCGACTGCTATGTGCCCCGCATACAGGTGCAAGACACGTCTGCTTCCTTGTCGATATCCGGTGATTGGCTCAGACCCAGCTGCTGCTGGAGAGAATAATGGCTGCAACAGCCGTAGGCCCATCAGTAGGCATGTCCAGACCATACAACTAGTCCTCAGCTTTTCGTCGCATGTCCGGATTCCTCATGCTCGGGAAACAAATATATGTTCGCAGGCAGGAAGCCCGTCAAGCGAGAATGGTGCCCTGGCTTCTGTCAGATTCCGAAGCCTTGAATGGTGTGTTCTAGAGGCTGAAGCAAATGAAGAAAGTGCTTTCCCAATCCCAGATCTTGTTCCGTAGAGATCGGTAGTTGCAGTGAGAAAGCGCGTTGATTGCGGGTACCGGGTAGTCACCTGATAGTGGTGGCTAGTGCGAACACACTCACGAAGTTTCTGTCACAGCACACGTATCTGTATTTGCCTTCGCGGAAGTGGCCACGAACCCCGCTTGTTGCCTGCTGATCGTTTTCACGAGGTACCAGAGCAGCACGCACGTGTTCATAACGCTCTTCGCCAAGGGCGTGGATCAGGACTCCGCAATTTCTCTCGCTGCTTCTTTTTCAACCTATGTGCCCTGTCACCGCTTAGGTCACTAGTGCTTACTTTAAGCCTTACCTTGTGGGCCAGGAGTCCTGCCGAGTGGACTTCCAGGAGAAGGCAGCCACGTGCCAGACCTTCCCGCCTTCCCACTCATGCCTTCTCTCGTCTGTGAACAGATGCCCGCGAGTCTAGCGATGGGATCATGAGTACTTTCGATCAGGAGATTTCAGTGGTGTTCCCGCTTCCGGGGCACGCTTCTCAGATGCCGGTAAAGGTTTGGTGTTTGAGCATCTCGGAGTTGTCGTGAAATGTGAAGTCCAAGTCAGTAGCCGCAACTGAGGCACGGAATGCTACATGATCCCCTGGTTCAAGTATTTGCTTTTTGCAAGACAGCAACAGCACAACTCTCTCACACCGGTATAGTACAAAGTTAAATTGCGCCTGCCGTGTATGCGATCAGCCAAGATGAGGTCTGCGGAGGAGGAATACCAGCTCAACTTAGTCGAGCCCGAAGTTTGAGAATCGGCGCATGCGATTCTGCAGCCAGCAAGTGGTGACCGGTGGCAAGTTCTGTCAATAGCTGGTATCGCAAGACTCAGGACCTTTTTGACTCGGTGAACCCTGCTGGCTGCAAGATCGAGGCTCGCGGCTGCATAAAGGGGTAAGGTAAGATTAGAAAGTGCAGCATGAAGTGTTCAGCATCGGCTTCGGCCTCCTGGTGGAGATCTATATACCAGTTTTCTAGATGAGTTGCAACTTGCTTGCGGAATCTTGAGTCGGTGTCCCTGCAGCATCTCGGCATGGGGTTCTGGCCCATTCTAGCTGTGGTAAATCTTGTTGGTCCCGAGCTTGAATGTTGACTGACATTCAAACCCCTGCAGGTTTCAAAGGTGAAAGTTGAAGCACGGCTCTCGTTCCAAACCTGCTGAAGCTTGTCCGGAGACTCTGCTGCAGGTGTGTTGTTTTGCCTCCTGAGGTGACGCTTGAGAAACAGAACGTCAGCCTCCACTGGCAGGATTTGGAGAGGCAGCAGAAGCAAGGGCAAGTCACGTCACGAAAGCTCCCCCCGAAACGTGGAGCTTCCTTCATTGCCTCACAGCGCGAACTTGGGGATTTTAGAGGGGTGGGGGGTGGGGAAGGGGAGTTTTTTGTATGGTTTTCTGAGCTCCCCCCACCCGTGGCTCAGAACCGATGGAGGGCCGTTTTGGGCTAGATCTCGAGTCTTGATCCCTTCTCATGAAGCTGATGTTGGCTTCCAAAGGGCCTCAAGATTCTTCGCACGTCTTGGGCATTGACATGCGGACACTTCTGAGCCCAGCAGCTGTCATGGGCATTAAAGCACTGCGTTGTCTAGGACTTTTGGATTCGGTGCAGGTAGCAACATGGCTTGTGAGTCCAGTTCATCACATGCACGTAGCCCGTGGCGCTCTCAAGCGTCATGTGCTGGAACCCGAAACTTCAAAAACCCGCAGGCCTTTCCCACAGTTGCAAAAAACAGAGGCAAGGAACAGTCGAAGCAGGACTGGTTGACCTGCGACGGAAGAATGCATAGAATCTGCTTGACTTCGGATTCGTGCAACGTGCTTGGTTCTCTGGAGTGTGCTTATTGTCGTAATATGGTCAAAAGCACGAATGAATTTCCTTGCGTACAGTGGAGCCGAGCTTTAAGATATGTAAAGTGAACAAGGGCAAGTCCCAAAAGTCTTACACTTCTCAGTCAAACGCGTACTACGTTACCTCGATTGAGTGTGCATGGATTGGTGCTGCAGCGGCAAGGAAGGAGGCTGTGGTAGAGGTCCCACCGGATCTGTTGCAGCCTCAGCATCCTTGCGCGATGTGATCTTCGGTACAAGACGTAGAGGGAGTCGTGGGCTGACTGACGAAAGCTAAATGTGCCACAGCATCAGCCCAGCAGCGTCGATGCAGCCATGCGAGGCCAGCATATCCCACCTCCTCGAAGCAGAAGCGTGATTGGAGTCAGATTGATCGTGAGATCGAGGTGCTGTGCCGTGTTTGAGTGAAACGCGTTGCAATTTCGCTGCTTGCCGACATGTGCGACCTGCCTGAACAGACCTCGCCGCTTTGATTCATGAGGATCTCAAGATCGTTTGATGCAGGAACGAGTAATGACACCTTGACAACACAGCAAATCGACGAAACCAACGTCAAGCAGCCCAAGCACAAGGGCGAGACGGTGCAGCTTAACAACCCAAGATGCACACATTTATCGAATAGCAATGCCGCGTGTCTGCTCACAGCCTCTGTCTCTGCTCCAGTCGCTGGGGGAATGGGCGCAGATGCTTGTCAATAGTCTGGAGCCGTTGCATATCACGCATGTTAAGACATGTCTGAGATTCTCACACATCGCTTGTGCTCGTGATGCTCTTGTTTCAGAGGCCCCGCAAGGAAGGGCCCGTTCCGAGTCCAATCATGTTTGAACATGGGGGGAGGCTTCAGGGAGTGGGTTGTCAGCAATCGAGGGGGGCTTTTCGGTCTGTACAGACAAGAGATTGAGTCATACAATCGTCAACAAAGACCAGTAGCCCAAACATGTTCAAACTGCTCGGTTCTGTCGAGGCCAGTTTGAAGGAGTTCGTATAAGGCACTTACCAGATGCTGTTCCCGAAGACCTGTGCTGCCCGACCGGCTTGCTCTCGCACACATGCGTGGGGTCGGATCCCAACATTAAGGTACGTGGTGCAAGGCACCGCGCGCTGTGCCGGCGGCGGCGGCGCCAGTTCCTGTGACGTGAGCAGCGGAAGGGTACCTCGCCAGCAGGTCTTCGGAAGTGCGGCCAATGTTCAAGCGAGACTGTCTTTTAGGCGACCAAGGGTGTCATTGTGATCCATCAGGACATACAGACACAACATCAGGCAATGCCAGTAACATCTTCAGCGGCGTATGCGAAGTGCGGTCAGCTGTGTCAAAGCGCCCGCGGTGCTGCATGTTCCCATTGCTTTGTCATGCTATCGTCGTCTTCGGCCGCTGAAGGTGATTTGGGATGCGCTGGTGCCGCACTATTCCCCGACGCGCCTGAGCGCGAATTTAGGCTGTTGGGCACAGATCTAGCAGAGCTTAATGTGACGAGTGCCAGAGGCAGTGGCAGAAAGTCCTCCCTTGTCAATTCTTGCAATGCTAGCTGCTAGCACTCAGAGACGGTGAGCAGTTGGAGAATGCTGGAGAAGTTGGGCTTTGGTGTATCCCTGAGCGCTGAGTTTCATGCCGTCAGGACCGTGGCGACACTCGAAGAGAGGCATGGGGTGCTGCGAGAACACCCGGCCTTGCTTGCTGAGGGTGTTTCGACTCCCCGACAGTGCGTTTCAGTTTGCCCCTGCGGTTTGGGGGAACAGACTTGCCTGCAGGCGGGAAAACTTCTCTCTCGCATTGATGGGGCAACTTTCTGTTTTCTTCTGCCGCTCCTCATTTGCATTGAGCCTTGACTTGCGCCTGAAAGCAGTGCGACCCTTCTGCAGATTTCCCCGTGAAGAGCCTTCAAGCTCACAGTCGCCCTCAGCCGTGGTTTGGGATCATGGTGATCCTAGGCTTGCTGACTGGACACTGGGGGGCCTGTGGCATTGGTCGTGTGCTGAGTTGGAAAGCAATGGAATGGTGGTAAGTGATGCCTTTCCAGAGGTCTCTCGTTGCTATAACCCTTGGAGGCCTCATAATTTTCGTGGTGGGGAACAATGCGCGCTGCTCACTCCAAGTGTCGGCATCCTGACCGACTTAGTTGGGAGTCTTTGTCTTCCGCCCGTTCTAGAAGACTGTCGTTGTAATCCGAGCCCTCCGTCCGTCCGGCATCGGCTGAAGTGCTCAGCCGCTGTCCTGGAGACCACGTAAAGACACCGAAGCTCTGCGAAGCCTACAACCACCTTCTTTAGCGTGGATGCCGGCAGCTCCCTTTGCACTAAAGACGGTCTGTAGATAGGCATATATCTATGTTGCAGCTAGGCGATTTGGATAAAAAGAAAGGAGCTGACGTGCTACGTGGCGCTGAGTGGCTGCGCTGGGAGCCTCGATGCCTTGGACTTCCTCCAACGGCTGCTCCAAGGTGCGGCACGCACTGCAACCGGTGCTACTGCATGCATGTCGAAGGCCAAGAACTAAGACGGCTTGCTTGTCACCACTTCAGGTCACTACATCACTTTCGCTTTTCCTTTCGCAGATAATCTGGCGCTGAACTTGGAGGCACGCCTGAGCAAGAGAGAGGTTCGCGACTGTGGAATCGGGAGCCTCCTGAGCAGTGGGCATGAAACGAGATGTGAAAGAGCAGAGATGGTCCGAGGTCTTCAGCGTGTGGATGGCGCCAGTGGCAGAGATCCTGGGAGCGCGAACTGCTTGGGGCTGCTACCTGACACGTGGCTGACAAAAAGAGCCGTGCCAAGACTCTGTTTGCGACTGGGGCTGGATGGGGTCGGCCGCCAGTTAACAATCATGGCACACTCTTGCTTCATCGCGCTTGATGCCGGTGCTGCTAGTAGTTTGTGAATCTCTCTTTGGCGAGTTGTGTAAACGATGAGTGTCGGTTGCAGACACTTTTTTCCGGAGGTTGTCGCTGAACTGCGAGACATGCAAGCTACTGCCTTGGACAGAACGTCTGCGCAACGAACTCCCAGCTGGGGAAAGAGCACAGACAAATCACAAGGCTTTCTCTGGATTCTCCTTCATTTTCTGAAAGCACCTTCGGCAACAGAGGAACCCTTCAATGCTCTTCGAGACGCCCAGCTCGCAAGTGATGCCGCTTGAAGAAGTTGAGCAATGGGATGTTGGTCGGGGCTGAAACTCTTTCTTTTACATTAAGTTGATCTTGATGGCCCGTGAATGAAGTCAAATTGCCGCGCTGCGAAGGTCGATGAGCAGTCAGTATGCACAGATCCTTGGCTTGGTAAGGCTTCGGGTCCCGACAACTTCACTTCGGCGGCCGCCGTCGTGTGACAGCAGCCAGCCGCGGCTGGTTCAGGGTTTCCGATATCGGACTCAGGCCCATGTTTCATCCTGGCCAACTGGCGGCAGCGCATTTCCGCACTATGCCCTCACGCCCGCCTGATCCAATGCGAACACGAATGCCTGGTGACTCGTCTGGTCGAAGCAGTGCCACTGCAGTTGCCATGTCTGCAACCATCCGAGCGGAGACCTTACCCGTAACCCCAAACCAAACCGCACCCGAAGACTCCATTCGAACGGGGTTTCGGTGCCGCCCCTACATCCCATAACCCAGCGCCACGAACTTTACAGCAAGCTGGTCGAGGCAGTCTTTTGAACATTTTGTGCTGCATTGGTAGTTAGAGGCTAACGGTTTCAGATTGAGTCCAAAAGCTTCGAAGTGGTTTTCTTAGTCCTCAGACCATCTTCACCCCAGCAGAACTGCTCTTCTGCTTCTGCAGATGGACACTGGCTCACCACGCCTTAGCTCCGGGTCTGACTGGGCCTGTGCTTGCCACGGGCTCTTATCTTTCACGTGCTGCGTGCCTGCTCGCGAGCAGGCGGTGTCTGGGGTGAGATGGCTTCAATGATGCCCGGGTGGCCGGGCGCTATGGCTATGGATGCTGCTGGGACTGGTTTGGTGCTCCTTTCCTTTGGATTTGCATGCATCGCCTCTGCTTGGCGATGTCGGGTATCCTGCATGTGGCCGAAACTTGCACGACGCTACTCCCACTTTTCGTCTCATGCAACCTTGTCTTGGACATTCCTGTTTCAGTCTGAGGCATTCTCAGGCCCAAGCCTTGCCCCACGCCAACTCAAGTCGCTTGGGTGGCTGGGCCTCCTTTTTTGTTGCCTTGCTGTCTCGAGGTGGGGCGAATGCAGCCTTTCGGCAGCAGCAGCACAGAAGAGCAGCGAGTGCAGCTACTTGGGTTGCAACGGGACCGTGGCCACATGTGGCCGCTGAGCCTGTTCCAGATAAATTGTCTAGGCGGAGATCTTGGCATCTCCACTCCAGGCCGCATTTGCGAGTAAGGTGTACGTATGAAGCATGGCTCGCAACACGAACATGGGGAAGCAAGGATCTATGGCTTGGATACGGAGGGCTATGCATCCTCCTCACGGGATCGACCCCATGCCGAGGGCCCAGACCCTTGCGCTGTGTACTAGCAAGCTAGAAGCAGCTAGAAGCGTATCAACATCTTGATGTGCCGCGTGCCCTTACACTCCGCGAGGGGTTTCACTCCAACAAGCGTCGGAACGACATCGACGTTCTCTGCACGGGCTGTGGAGATGCAGTACCTGCAGGAGAAGGCGCGAGAAGGTGGAAGAAAGAACTGGAATCTGCTTTTCATGCACAGCCAGCCAGCGTTCGAGACTTGCGGCTTAGATCCTTGCCCTTGTGTCAAGCCCAAAGGGTACGTCATGCCTAGTTGCCTCCTATATCGGATCGTTGCAGTGCATTTAGCCATTAAGCTCTGGTCTGATTGTCAGGGTGGCTGGGCACGGGTGTTTTCCACGGCCAAGTCTACTGCTCGTCCTGTTGGGCCAAGTGGACGGCGCCTTGAGCAGGCAGTCCTTTGAATGTACCGGCATTAGCCAACTGGCCGTTCTGCTCTGTTGTCATTTCGAAATGAGGATTTTCTGGTTCATGTTCGAAACCAAGCAAGATTTCCTGTGACGCCTACTGCTACATAAAAGATGTCATTTGGCACGGCGGGACATTGGCATAAGGACCAACAAAGCCGAAAGACGATCCTCAGGAGACTTAGAGTGGGTCGCCCACGTATCGTAGCGAAATTAGGAACCCTGCGTCCGGCGAGGGAGCTGGGTTCACTCAGCCAAACGCGAGACAAGAGCGACGAGAGCCGACCTTGTCCGCTTGGAAAGACTGCACATAGCCATTGCTGTCTGGACAGACCGCTCTGTCGACTTTAGGCAGCAGCTGTCATGTCCATCTGCACACAGATGCGGACCGTCACCCAAGCAACCACGATGACCAGGGAGTGTAGTCCACAGGCTCGGGCTGTGTAGCAGGGCGTGCGGGCACCGACATTTCAAGGTGTTGGGTATGCGGTTGTCCGGGACTGTCAGTGCTACCCCATAAGCAGACCACGAGACCCTATACGGAGCATCCCATGTTTCGATCGCATTCGGTCGCACTGATGCCTAGTGTCAGAGTATGAGATTATGGATGATGGGCTGTCTGCACGGCTGCAAATCATGTCGTGGTCATCTTGCCATAGTGGGTCCTGCGCCTTGAACAGGAAAGAAGGGCCGCGCGGGCGCATTTTGCATGCTTTTGCAGCTCTCTGCTCCTCCGCAGCTTTGCCAACAGATTCTTTCCTGTCGGACAACACGTGACGTAAAGCCTCCCAGCCGTAGATGGTGAAGGTCAAGCTGAAGCAGCAGCGACATCCTGAACAGCCACAATGTCTTAGCCTTGAGATTTTTGGACTTTTCAAAGAAGCAACTAAACAAGATTTCAAATTGTCTTGGGTCTTGCGTGTGCAACTGTGTCTTCTTGAACAAAGATAGCCAGCCTCCATCCGGCGAGGGGTCGCCATGCGCATGCCGCTAAAGAGGTTCTCGAAGGCTTGGTGCGCAAAATGCGCACCACGGATCTCGGTGAGTTTTAGCAGCTCTGGCATGCACGCAATCGTTGCTGCAGAAGGTGATGGTCGCAGCTGCTGCTGCCACCAGTCTCACGGCAAGCTGGCGCTCCTCCTCCACGACGCCCGGAACCTAGCAGAAGCCACAGTTGCCCTTTCTCGGTCGAGCGCCTGTCGTCCACAGGCTGGCCATGCCTGGTGGAATGCCACCGGTGCAGGACCGCTTTCGCATCTTGGGCTGACCGTGTGATCAAGTCGTATCTACTTCAGGAGCGTATCTTCATGGTCACCGGGGCCACGGATGGCATAGGCAAGTTCACAGCAGAGCAACTGGCGAAGCTGGGCTCCACAGCTAGGCCCTGAGATGCCTTGAGCTTCGGCTCAGTGTCGGCGCGTGCAGTTCAGAGCAGCTACCGTGACCTCCCATTCTAGGTTATCATACATGGCCGCAATCCTCGGAAGATCGAGGTGCTACTCTGAGAGCCTGATACGGAATGCCACATAGCAAATCTCTGATGTCGAATCTTAATTACTGGAAAGGGTCCCTTCAGGGCTTGCGACTGTTCTGACGTTGGATTCAGGCAACGATAGCCGAACTGCAGCGCCTGGCGCCCAAAGCCACGCTGCACGGTGTCCAGGTGACTGTATTGAAGAAAAACATTGCCGCCACACGCGCAGCCATTGCAATTGTGAGTGCAACAGAGTCACCGCGACGAGGCTGATCTCAGCCTGATGTCCGAAGTCCGGCGATTAGGTGAGGAGGTTGCAGAGAAGCCCCCATGACTAACAAGACTGGGCAGACTAGCACGCACATTGATATCATTCTGCACTTGTGACGGGGCGTGCCTCCATTGCGAATGGCATGGCAGCTGAGGTTTCCCAAGATCCACGGCCTACTGAACAACGCTGGCACCTTCGACGGCGACTACACAGGAAGGCGGGTTGAGACGGCCGAGGGGAATGAGTACTCCTTGGCAGTTAACGCATCCTGGCTGGAGTACGGTAGTGAATCTATTACACTCCAGCCTGCAACGCCCTTCAAATGCAAGTCTCAGGTCATGGCACCCTTTCTGCTGACGTCGCTTCTTTTGAAGCAGCATGGCGAAAATGTAAGGAGGCAAAGGCAGTGGGCTCCCGCACACCACCGAGGCTTCCTTGGTCCATGAGGTTCGGCAAACAAGCAAAAGAATGTCATGCAGCTTTCTTGGACATAAGCAGGGGTCGGCCGCGCGGAAGCAGCCCCCTGCACTGCACAGCTGTTGCTGCGTGCCACTGTTTGTGTGGCGCCAAGGACGGTCAAGGCGTCAGGCGCAGGGCGAATTATTGCGGCTCGGCTGCGCAGTGACAGGTGTTCATGTAGCCTTTGGTTCCCAGGCCTCAGGTTCGAGACCTCGGTCTGGGGCTTTCTTGTTGTCGTGAAGGACGGTGACCCCCCGTAACGAGACACCTGGAGCAGGGGCATCAAGCCAGCCTCATGCCAGAAGATGCCTGAAGCAAGGCTCAACGCACCCTAAAAATTCGATGTGCCCCGCCTGTCGTGCGACATTCAGCAAGCATTGCCAGCAAACGTGCACCGCATGCTCCAAGGAAGTGCACAGAACCGAGCCCAAAAATCAGAGTTGAGCCGAGTTTTGATTGGTCGCTTCCAAGGCTACATCTTCGGTGTCGAAGGGCAGCGGTGATGCCTTGAATGACCTGCAGCTGCAGCAACTTGCCTCACCCAACATAATGTGCGGGCACGACAGAGAGCATCTAGAATTCTGCTCTTCGCAAGATGGGACTTGATCATTAACACGACCTTAAACTGGTGCTTTTTCGTTTTGCCACGCTCGAGCCGTGGTGCCATATCCTGCGGACCGTGTCCCAAAGGTTGTCGTAGACTTTGCGTGGTTTCCGGTCCTGCCCAGAGACACTAACCTGCATTCTACTGTGCTGGTTTTCCCCACTGTGGTGGATGTGAGGTCTGGGTGGTCCGGTCACAGGGCCTATTCACTCAGCCACTCGGAACTTGTCAGCTTTCCCTGCAAAAGGCAGATTTACTGGATTGAAGCTGCCGTAGAAACTCATGGGAGTGGTTTTTTGTCACACTCTTGCAGCAGTTTGCCTTTACCTTGCCCTGCTTCATTGCCCTGCTTCAAGGCAAGCTGTGCGACGCCATGATGATCGTCGAAATGGACCGCCGCTATGGGGATGCGCCGAGGCCAGAAGCATTGGGCCGAAACGCCCGATCTCAGTATCATGTGGCTGAGCATCTGCATCTGCTGCGAAGCAGGGCCTGGGCATGGCTGTAGGCAGGACTCGCGCATGCACCCTGGCCAGACGGGTATGTAGGTAATGGAGCTGAATCCGATAGCTGGTGTGTATGTGTATATATGTATATACATAATATATACATAATATATACATACATTATATATATATATAAAATCAATGTACACACTTGGGAACTAACGGAATACATTAACCGGGCCGAGGCACAGAGGGGAAGCAATAATGCCTTGGACATGGGGCTTTGTAGGTCACCATTACTCGGCCAGATTGCATGAATTTTTGAAGAGAAGTACCCTCATCGTGTGATAGTTTTGCAATTCCAGAACCCATCCAGAACCCAAACCTCATAACCTTTGATCGGTCTCTTTTCTCATGATAGGCGAACCCGAGCGCGAGACGTGAAAGCCCTTGTCATACCCCCTCTGTGCTGAACCGTGTGAGGCTGTGCTTCCACACTATGGACCCGGGCACGGTGGACACAAAGACTGCACAGCCAAGCCTTAGATGATGTTGCTCAACACACAGCTTGCTGCGGAGAGGTGCAGTGTGACAAAGCCGCATACCAGCGGTATCTAATTGAATGTGGGAGACCCTGGGAGACGGCAGCAGGTTGATGATTGAATGGGCACATTTAGCCGCAGGCTGCATTTTCGCAGCAGGATTTGCAATTTTGATTGCATCCATCCCGCCTCTGCCGCTGCAGCAGGATGCTTCGTGCTGGCTGGTGGTCTGGGGGCAGTTCTGTGCGCACTGCCACGTCCCAGGGCAGCACCACAGAGTTTTCAAGTTGGCTTGCGCGGCGGATGGTATCTTGCATGCCCTTGCAGTCGTTGGTTGGCCTCTGAGGAAGTCATTCCGCATGCTCACAGAGGCGAGTGTTGGACTTCTCGAGGGCCTTGCGAGAGAATAGAAGTGGGGAGAGTCTGTTCTCCTTGGATTCTTGTTTTTCTGGTTATGATGTATGCTGTGCCAGGATTCGTATCAAGAGAGCTCCGGGCAAAGCCTCGGAGGGGGAGAAATCTCGGCTGGGAGCCCAGAAAGTTCGAGGCACGCTGTTGCCAAACAAGGACAGACCAAACTTGTCACATTCTGCAGAAGACCAAGCATGCTTGCCCTTGCCTTGTGAACTTATGTCCGACCGAGGACAACGGGAAACGTGCCAAGCTCTGGGAGGACAGGGCTCTTGTCTCGCCAGCAAGCTGGATTTGACTTGAAGGCACCCAGCAGCAAGTCGATTCTCTTTGACCTGTTCGGACATTTCTGGAAATCGAGCAATGCCTTCAGGACTTGGTTGGGCTGACTGGTGCTGAGTGGCCAGCAGCAGCATAATCAGCATGATCCAACGGCAGCAGGTGCGCGTATGTGCATGAGGAGGAGCATGTGGCATTGCCGGAAGCTGTTGAACTACCGAATCGTGCGCTTATCCTAGTCAGCAGCTTTGTAACTATCTGGAAAAACTGCCGGCGCTTGCACGTCCCGCATGGTTTCAAGCATGCCCAGGTTGGTTAGATGAGGGTGCATATCACGCATCGACGTGTCTTTGCATGCGGCAGTGCGATTGTGAAAGTTGCAGGCATGCCAAAAAAGCGTTCGTGCTGCTTTGGAAGCAAACTCTCTCGCAAGGGTCAGTTGTGTGCAATCTTGTTAGTCGTCGAGGACTCTTGTGCTTGACTCTGCCGTTCACCACGTGAGGTCAAGACAGAAGCATAGTATTGTCATATGAGCATTGAGTGGACACTAGCAGTCACTAGCCATGACCAGGGCATCGCCTATCTATGTCCATGCTATACTTAGGGACTGACCGATAAGTAGACTTTTTTGCCAGGAAGAGCTCAAGAACGAGAAGCCCGAGGGCGACCAGGTCGGCAACTACTGCCCTCCATCTATTGGCAGCGAAGTTATCGTTTGACATTGGCATTTTAACGCTGCTTCCCTAGTGAACCATGGCATTCGGTTCCAGGATTTCCAGGCGTGTCCAGCCCCCGGCCAGGCTTTGAACAAGCTCTTCCAGCAGATCTACGAGCGAGCTGACGAAGATACGCGGCGGGCGATGAACAAATCCTTCCAGACCTCTGGAGGACGCAACGTAGGGGAGGATCACAGGGCTTCGGTCTTCTGGCTACGGATGTCTCAGAATTGGCTACAGCCAAATCCTGGATGTTCAAGACTTGAGAGAGCGACTCTGTTTGCAACTCGCAGGAACCGTCTTGCACCGGCCTCGGATGGTTGGGAGATGCCCATCGCAGCACAATCGCGGTGGCATGGAAGAGAAATCGGCTGTTGTTCAGTCACTTTGGTCACGGTTTCTGGTCTTGCAGTCGAGAATCACGTACCGTCAATGTTGGGCTGTTTGCCGATGGCGTGCGATTGGAAGGTCAACGAACTGGGGCGAGGTTGCCTCGAACGACTACGAGGGCAAAGACAGGCATGCGGGTTTGCTAGGTGCAAAGTTGGGCTGAGGCAGTGAGGTGCACTAGATTAGATGCGTGGCTCAGCCGGTATCCGATGTCGCACGCTTCTTCATCCTCAAGCGTGTCCCGGTACGAGCGTGTCGTTCGGCTGTGCGCTTGCACCAGGCCGACCCCACCAGATGGGCAGGAGTGGAGGGACTGGCGCAAGAAATAGCTGGGGCCTGAGCCCGCTTCTGCGCAGGTGGAACAATCAGTCCGCTAGGGCGAGCTGAGAAGGAACGCCAGATATCACATGGCATGTGCCCGAGCTCATACATGTGGAAGGTGTTGCTTATGTCCGGACTGTTAAGTTGGGAATCTAAGTGCAGCTAATGCGCAACTGAGCATCATGCACTCGATGTGCATGTGGTCCATATTTTTTGGTCAGCATGCCGCTGCATCTTGCCGTGAGTTTGTGCTCGAGAGCGGCCAAGCACGATTAGGGTGGGGGCTCATGGCGCTGACAAACCCCTGCACGCCGCAACGGCATGCGCTGCATGGTCTACACCTGACGCGACCTGCCGAAAGATTTGCGAAGCTAGACCGCTTTGAAACTCTTGGACTCAAACGGGGATTCGACATTGCGCAGTGCAGGAAACCACATTAAATTTGGAAAGCCCTTCGCCTCCTATCCTCTTGGAAGGAACCAGGTGTGGACGGAGTCACCTCCTCGAGATGAGCCGAGAGGCCACTGCCCCCGTGATGGTTTGGCATGTTGCACCATGTATCATGGATGCCGGCATCCCAAAAGCCAAAGCCCCTGAGCTCTTTCGAAATTTAGGGTAAGAGACAATGTCAGCTTGTTGGGCCAGTGCTTTGACATGGCACCTGCATGTCCCATAGAAGCACTGCAACATCTGAGACGTTTCCTCAGGTCACTGCTGGGTCAAGCCAGCCACAGTCATCGGACTCGGCTTTTTCGCCGGCTTCTGCAAGCGCAACGTCCACGTCAAGTCGCACAAAGTGCAGGTCCGGGCTCGACGAACGGCACAGAACCGCGGAGATCTCCGTCCAGACGCGGTGCCGGGACCGAAGGTGCTGCAGCTTTACCTGAAGGCCTCTGGCGGTGTTGACCCGCGTGACCAGCCCGCTGCCGGATCGCAATAGTCACGAGCGCTTGAAGAGTGACTGCCTAACGGTCCCGGTCAAACATGGGAATCGTCCTGATAGCAGCAGTGCAAAAGGCAAACGGGTAGAATGTAGAACAGAAGGCCGCGCTGCTGAGGCGCAGTTGTTACTTCGTGAGGCTTGCAGGAGGCCCCAAGGCCCTTCTCACTCTTAGCTTTCAGTGGAGTGGAGGTAGATCCTGAAGCTGTGCGTAACTGCAACTTACGTCTCTTGCGGTAGCTGTGGGGTACCTATGCAGCTAGTGCATGTCTCCAGCTAAGGGCAAATGGGTCAACAGAGCTAAGTGCCCATGCTGCAATGGCGGCGACAACGGCGACAATAGGAGTCTCAGCATGGTTTACCAGACCAACACTGGCCGTGAGCCTAATGGGATCATTTGTGCCTCGGAGGAATGCAGTGCCGCAGTGCCTAATGCGAGCAGTCCGGTCCGTCTGGTGTAGAAACACAGGGAACTGGAAAGTTGAGATGCATCTCTTTCTCGAGGTAAATGTTGGCGGCAGAATAAGTGCGGACAGAAATGGTTTGTCTCTGATCAGAAGCTTTTCGATGGTGTGGCATTGCAAAAAAGTGGTGTGGCATGGAAACAAGCGACAGAGCCGGTGGTGCCGCAACTGGATTTCTCCGGAAAAACGGAACTGCAGCCGTCGCATCGTCAATACCTGCTCGATCGGAAGATCCCAGAAGAAATCGTGGATAGGAGCCGTGCCGTCAGTTTCAGAAAACGGTTTATGGTTTGCTTCCGAGAATTGTCAGCTGCAGGCGTGGCATTAGGATTCGCGCTCTTTCAAACACAATGTGTGCGGTTCAGGCATGGGATCTACTCCAAGCTATGCAAGAAGAAGAGCGGGAACGAAGCAGTGTTGGTTTTCCCCTACTTCGTCAGTGACAAGATCGTTTCTGAGAAGTGCCGGAGACTGCCCAAAGAATTTTGGCAGTCCAAAGGTGGCTGTCACTGCAGGGAGCTCAGTGCAGGGATGCTTCCACGAACCTGGCACAGCTTCCCTAGCACCTGCATAGTTTCGACAGAGGGGCTAAGGGGTGCACTGGGCGTTGGAGCTCAGGCCTGTACGGGGTGGATGATCTGCGCGGAGAGCACGTCATTGTTCTCACAGAGGCTTGGTGCTTCGATCCGGGTTCGTGATGCCCCAGTGTTATCGCGCAGGGCGAGATCGACAAGCTGTCCGTGGAAGCAGCTGGATACAGGTGCGGGAAACTGAAGGGGGTTTGCTCCTGCGGCTGCCAGCCCTCGCCAGGGGATGCGCTTCGCTGCAGAATGGCTGCACAGGCACATCGCCGTGTTTGCCTGTGCAAAGAGAATAGGGATCAGCCAGTCAGCCGTCAAGCCTTCGCAGGCCACGGCCGTTTTCGTGAGCGGGTGTGTCAGAGTCTAGTAGTAATCATCGTTTTTCTACGAGAACTGTCCAAAGCCGCATCCACGAGTCGCAGAAACGAGGTAAGGACAAGAATTGAATGTCGCAGATGTTTACAACCTGCCAGTCTGAGGATGGTTTTGATAAGGGATGGTGTGTGCCCAAGGTTTCAGATGCGGCCTCGGAGAAAATGTTGCCTTCGTTCGGCTCGGGTCCAACCTTCCACGCACGTGGCGCAGCAATTCAGATGCCTTGCGAAACCTCCAATACCAACCTCTTTCCTGTTTCGGTACGGATTTGATGCTGCTCGCCCTCTCCAGATGTATTGCTTTGCAAGCGCCAAGCAGAATTCGAACTCCAAAGCTTTCCTTGGAGATCCTGCTGGGAGTGGCGGTTCGTTGTCCAGGCGGCATTTCCCGCAACTATGGGGCCGGCGAGGCCGCCCGGCAGCTGATTGACAACTGTAGCCTGCAGACCCGTAGACCTTTTTGGACACTGGGGATCGGAATTTGGCTTGATTGGCAAAACACTTCTCCTTGAAATTGCGGGGTCGCGCGCCAAGAGGCGCAATGGTGAAGACCTTGCACGAGTCTGCGCAGCAGACCTCTGCAATCCTCTGCTACCATGGGTACTTGGCATGACGGCAGCATTGCAGCTGCGTTGAATTTGATGCTTCTATCTGCAATATATCATCATATACTTGAATGAACGACGATGTGCACTAGACTCACATAGCCAGCTCATGTCATCATCATCCTTCTTTGGAGCAGGCCCTAGACAGCGCGGAGAAGATCATTCTGGCGCTCGATGGTGACCGGGCTGGACAGGCCAGGTCCGGCTCCTCTCTGCCTTTCTCTCCCTCTCTCTCTCTCTCTGTCATTCCTCTCTCTTTCTCTCTCTCTCTCTCTCTCTGTCATTGTGCATCCATGTCGGTTTGTGTCCATGTTCATACCTCCACATATCTACATCGTGTAAACAAACAAATAAATTAAAAAATATACTGCAGGGTTACATGTAACGGATTGATCCGAAGAAAAACCAATCAACTCAATGAGCTGGGGCGGTGATACGATAAAGTCTCATGTGCTGAAGAAGTCCGATGTCCATGTAGATGCGCTCGAGACCGGCGGACTTGTGCCAATTGAACGTCTTATCCACGCGACCACTGAGCTTTCCGACGTCCCTGGTGTTGATGCTGATGTTGCGTTTTGCAAGGGCCCAAATCGGCTTGACCCATGTTGTGGCTGTGCTCACCACCTAAGCATACCACCCCAACGGCCAACGGCAGCAGCCAAGCAACAGCAGTTTCGCTGCCTTGTTTATTCGGGGTCAAGTGCATGTCAGGCTGACATGAGTGCAGGCTCAGTAACTGTCGTCTAATGCAACGGTCAAGCCGCCTTGTTTATATGCTGCCCGGCTCGCCTGATTGGACTGCATAAGTATTTTTGCAAGCCTGCCCCACTTTTGTGGGGTTCTGTGTGTGTGTGTGTGAACTTCCTTCGCACATGGGAAAAGAGGGTCACTCCTACATTGGTCTGCTTTTTCGCATCGCAGGGGGAAGCAGCACGTCATTGGGGCTGTGTCCAACGAAGTTACTAGTGTTGTCTGGGAAGAGAAGACTGATCATCCTGTTGTACCTGCAAGGAACCCCTGTGTGCCAAGATTAGACAAACAACCCTGCCTTCCCCCCTTCTCTGCATTCCTGTTGCTTTGGCCGAAATCCCACAAGCGTGTGCATGTACATATGTTTTATGTGAGTTTATACATATACACGCATACACACGCTCAACACAAAATTGTGCCGCATAGCGGGCATAGCGTTGCTGCTACACATGTGTACGTCTCTGTGCATGGTGTGCGCAGATATGCTGTCCACCAATCGTACAGGGAGGGTAGCATCATACTGGCATCCGGTCATGTCACCGGCTTAGATGTCATACTGCAGTCTGTAGCTGGAGTTCCTGGAGGCAGCGGTGCGGAAGCTGGCCAACGAACTCGGCATATACAGGCCAGAATGCCAAAAACTTTGTGCCCCAGTCTTGGCTAGCCCACAGATAGAGGAAGAGAAGGTTTGCACCCAAGATGCCGGAAGTTTGAGCTTGGGTTTTAGTTGCCGACTTGACTGTCGGCATCCGGCATGCTGATTTGACTGTCGGCACATCGCCGGCAGCGACTGCACATGAATCGCTGTGCATCATGCATGTTGCAGGTCAGGTGTATAAAATGGTAGATGTGCATACACATGTGTTCATGCACACAGGCTTGTCTTCCTGCAGTCAGGTGCTGCACCGTGAACTGGCCCGATGACTGCAAGGTGCGCAAACAGTGAGAGGGAGTAGGTTTACTTCGTGCAGACCTGGAAGAGGGATGCTTCGGGAATTCAGTTGTCATCTCGTGAGACACTCTAAGCCCAGAAGCACGCGTGACATGTTTGCTTTGTAAGGATGCCAATGACGTCCTTTGCAAGCACGGTGCTGACAGACTCAAGATGCTAAGAGGCAGTATAACTTTGTCACAACTTTCTCCATGAAGTTTCAAAGGCTTTGTGCTGGGGCATGGGCGGGACTGTCGGCATATAAAGCGAGCCGCTCTGAACAAGCTTCAGCTCAGGATACTCTTGGATGAAGCAGAGCAGCTTCCACCTCCGTGTCTGAAGCACAGCTTTCAGGACGCTTTTTCAGGACCTAGGTCGGACTTCGCGGTGAGAATATTCTTTCAGGTTTCCCAGCGGAGATCACAAGTTTGCAGATGCTGCATGCATTTCGGTTTCATCCCTGTGAATGCATGTTGTGCTCCTCGTACAAGGACGAGGAGATCATTCAATATATCAACGACGTCGTCGCAGGCGCTGTCGCCTAAGACTCGAGAGCGATTGCCGGCCACACGGCAGCTGCAAAGTCCAGCGTAGGGGGCCGGGCAGGCTGGAGTGCCCAGTGGTGCTTCTTTGCCAGGTGCCTTAGACCCGACCCACCGGTCTGGTATCTCCACAGGCCAGCCTCCCGAAGGTTTCGTCCTCTACAAATCGGCTTTGGTTTTGTGGATGGGGCGGTCTGTGAGCAGCATCGGTGTTTTGCCTGGACGGGCTGTCTCGCTGTTGTTCCTGTTTCGGAATTATCTCTGTCATTCTCTGTCGTTTGGGGGAGTGTAACATCACGGTGAAAGGGCTACTAGTCACGCTAGTCCCATTGTTGAGATGTTGCATCAAGCAGTTTGTGCATCGTATCCCGCAGTCCAACGCCCAAGAAGCACACAGGTGACTAGAAATCCGGATGCATTACAAGTTTCGACGGCATGCCTCACTAATCTTTAGGGGGCAGGTCAGTGTCAGTGGTCGATGGTGTGCAGCCAGGCACAGCTTGTGCCGTAAGATGTCTCCAACACTTCTCCAACTATAAAAGAGAAGCCGGTGGGGGAAGAGGAGAGGCACTGAGACTCATCTATCATCTATCCCAGTGCAGCAGTGCGTTCGTCCGGCCAATATGATAATGAACCGGGAATGCCGGTGTCATGATTTCAAGATGTCCAGGTCGACCTTGAGCCATGTCTGGAGTACCAATGTACAATTCGCAACTTCAAGTTGTCTGATCTGGGCTTTCCATTCTACTACTTGTCGCAGGCTGGTCTGGACTGGACCGCTTCTACAGAGTCGTGCCTGGAGAGGTCACGGTTATCACGGGCATTCCCGGAAGTGGGAAGACAGAGTGGCTTTTGTCGATGGTCGCCACTTGCCATGCAAAGGATTGATGCCTGAGTTACATTGCGCGCGGAAACAGCGCCCACGCTCCGACAAGCCCGGACAACCCCGGCAACCCAGCAAACTCGACAAACCCGAGAAGCCCAATACACCCAGAAATCCCGACCCCATCACAGTTCAGCGGTTTTGGAGTCACTGTTTGAAATCCGTCGCGCCCGATCAGCCACATGCTCCCAACCAGCCCAGCGGTTGAAAGAGAGTCCGTCCTCGCATGCCCTCCCCGAGTCCAGCGGTTCGAAACAGTCCAAGGCTCCATCCTCGGAGTTCGAAGTCATTTATTTGGAGTTCCGAGCGAGATTCTTGCGGAATCTTGCGGATGGCACGACAGAGAGGGAGAGGTTTGAAATCATTCACTCCTCTTATCCGTGTGGAAGAAGACCGTTCAAGGATAAATAAGACTTCGCCCCATCAGTCCAAGGCTCCATCCTTGGAGTTCGAGGATATTTCGGGACTGACTTCAAAATTATGTGATCTCCGTCAGTCCGAGGCTCCATCCTCCATCCTCGGAGTTCGAGGTTATGGAATGTTCTTTCCGAATTTAAAAACCAGGGGCGCCCCATCAGTCCAAGGCTCCACCTTCGGAGCTCAAGGTTGTGTAGATCGAGTTTCTTTCAAAAATTAGGGACGCCCGGTTTGTCCAAGAATCCGCGCTCCGGGTGCTTAAAGAGTTTTTAAGAGTCCGGATTTTGAAATCAGGTTGGCCCCATTAGTCCGAGGCTCCACCTTCGGAGTTCGTCGACTAGGAGAGGACTAATTGGAGAACAGAGGCGCCCCAGCAGTCCAAGGCTCCAGCCCCGGGACTTCACGGTTTGTCAGAGTTCTGATTTATGGACATCGGGCAGCCAGGGACTCGAGGTTGCAAGAGCCGCATGGCAGTACTGCCAGATTCTATAGCCTATAGCCGGCTGCAGCAGCAACAAACGGCGGATTTTCTAGTTCAATCAGCGAATCGATGCAATTCCAGCGCAATTCAGCGCAGACGGCGCAACCCACGCATCCGGCACATTTCTAGCGCACTCAGAGCATGGCCATGATGTGATCATTGCGCCCGAGTGCACTTCAGGCCGGGGGCCGGGGATAGAACATCCAGTTCGCATGATGCGGCTGTGATTTTGTGGTGGAGAACAGCCAGTCGTCACACAAGCATTGACTAGCTGGCCCATTTTTTTTAAAATTGGTTTCCCCGCTGGTTTTTTGGTCCAGATTTTCAGTCTCCGCATGCAGGCCCTCAACAGCACATAGAGACACACTGTCGGCGGCGGCACGTAGACATGTCTCTCTGGTGTCGGAGATCGTGAAGGCAGGCGGAATGCCCGTGCAAACTGCAGCCGAGCAGCACCGCCAAGCAGCACCGACCTGCGGAGTTGGCCGACGGGCCTGCCATGGCCTGCCATGCAGCCCAAAAGAGACAATGTCGCAGCAATGAGAGAATGAAGCTAGGCTCGTTCATATGCAGTCAGGTAGAAAAGCCCATCATCATCATCATCACCGTCATCATCACCAGCAGCATCACCAGCATCCTGATCAATGCTACAGCTGCTGCTGCTGGTCCTGCTGCTGCTGCTGTTGTTGTCGTTGTTGCCGTCGTCCCAGTGGTTTTAGCTCCCTCGATGCCGAGACCTGTAAACAAGTGACATCCAGTCCGTCACTATCTTCTTGACCATGACTAATTCTTGCGAGGCTAACATCGCCCATCAGGAGAACTGGCGCATCTGGGCTTGAGCTCGGTTTGCCGAGTTCGACCGGATTTTGGGCCCGTGTCAGTGTTGTGATTTCCGATATTTGGCAGAAGACTCTTCTGACTGTCTCTTTCGGGAGCAATTGAAGTGCACAAGCATCTCAACTGTGAGGCATTCTGCTGTTCACTTTCGAAGCGAACACAGACACCTTGGCTGCGCCTCGCCTGTGTAAGAGGTTGAACAGCACTTCTTGAGAAGGGATTGGGGCCGTTCCAAGAGTAGCAGATAAGTGTGCGATGTGAGACACATGGCCGTCATTGTCCAACTTAGTCAATCATGGGACAAGCTGAAGAAGGACGAGGTTTAAGGTAGCAAAAGCAAAGGCCTACAGCACCTGCAAGGTTCAGATGTCTCAGAAGCTGAAATACATGCTCCCGGAGCTGTCCCAACAACAGGACCTGCATGTTGTAGTACCGTAGACGAGAAAACAGCAGATATCAGTGGAGATTCCAGAATCGACGAGTTGTGCCCCCACGCCGGGCAGGTAGCTCATGTTGCTGCTTTCTGCCATGAAATATCTTGGAGTTGCGTGTGCACGGGGCGCAAGTTCCACCCAAGATCACCCAAGTATACTCACTGTAGCAGTCGCATCGGCAACAGCATCTGCGAACTTCTCGCGCCCCGTCACTTGCCATGGTTGCGGCTCGTTTTGTCAAATCGCAGGCAAACTTTGAGCTACCCGAAAGATGCCCCTGTCGGATGGTTTGCTGTGGGGTTGAGGGGGCACGGGACCTCGCCCTTAGCTCCCACGGTTGGCTCCTGCTGCCTGCGCCCACTTCCCGCGTTACAACACTGCAAGCACGAACTAGGGTGTGACCGCCTAGCTGCATTCAGCTGCCAACTGCTTGATTGCCGGACCTTCGTCTCGCACGCAGCTTCTTGTACATCAGTGTTTCTGCACGTTTCCCTTGATAACATCTGCAACCTATGGGGACGACATGACGGAATAATGCAAAACACATGCAGAAGGGCCAGGTCGTGCCAGAGGGAGTTTGCCGTTCCCCACCGCCGGAAGGGCAATCGAGGTTTGTGCCCGAGCGCCTTGTGGAGACCTGTTTTCGTTGACCGTTCACCGCATAGTCTGAGCTGTGAGTGAATTCCCAGCGCGGATAATGAAGGAGACGCAGCCCGGCTGCATGCAGGAGGCTGGGTCCTGCGAGTTGGTGCTGAGGGGACGGTTTAGTTCTCATCATGACTTGTCTAGTCGAGACGCTCTGAAGCCTAGCAGGACAGGACTGCTTACATGAACTGGATGGACGACCACTTTGAGTTTGGCGTGGACAGCTTCGAGAACCTGAGCGTGGACCCTGCTCGAGTGTTTAACATGCTGCGAGGGCATGCTCCGGGTTCAGGCGAAGGTGCACGCGCATACACATGCATACGCATACGTGCATCGGGTGGCACTCGTTTGAAGGATCAAATTGTGGAGAAGATCGATGAAGTCACTGCAGATCGGGGGCTGCAAGGGGTCATTATTGACCCGTCACTCGGAGGGGAATCCTGTGCAACAGTACTGTAGCGTGACTGGGCGGGCAAATCCCGATCTCCTGTGACCTTCCATGCGGCGGCTTGTCTGAGGTATAACTTCATCGAGCGCCCGGCCCGCAAGAACGACAGCGAACACCACTTCATCGGAGCCTTGATGCAGAGGCCGGCTTTGTTGTTCCAAGCTTCTTTGCTTCTGGCGTTTGTGCTCCCTTTTCGAAGATACTTCGCAGTGGCAGAGACAAGCCAGGGACCTAGACCGCCAGGTTGCGCAATGTGGCCGAAGAGAAGAAGATCCACATCTGGATCGTGGCGCACCCCACGAAGTCTGCACAATGGGGCACTGCAAGGCCAACTCTGTACAGCATTGCCGGCAGCTCCAACTGGCGCTTCGGCATTGCTAGACAGTAGACGGTGGCAGGTGCCAGACCAAAGCAGCTGGAGACGTTAGCCTGAGCGACATACTTAGGTTCAACAAGACCGACATGGGAATTATCGTGGACAGGAGAAGTTATGAGCCTCGGAGCATGGGGGTGAGAGTGAAAGAAAGAAAAAGGCAGTGCGGGTGTAACTGTAGCAAAAGTGCCCGCATGATAACTACGGGGCGATACCCCCCTACACCCTACATAGACTCCTGGGAAACAGAGCGAGCCTTGCTGGCTTCGGGGACGGGTCTGGTGAGCGGGTTCCGTTAAGCACGTTCAGGTGAGGAATGGATGGGGGCCAATTTTGAGCCCTTGGGCCTCGTCTTTCCGGAATCAAAGGGCTCCTCCATGCTTCACACCCTGCTCTCTTGTCCGGGCCTCGACCCAGAGCTAAGGAGAGCGATGATGGTGTAGTCGTCCGGTCGGACCAGGTCGAGATCATAGTTGAAAAGGTGGCGTGGCGAAATCAGGTTGTGCAGTATGACTGCACCCGCCAGCCCCATGTTACAGGTGCGCAATCGAGAGGCGGGAGAACTCGGAAAAGCGCTGCTGCTTTTCGACAGGGAGAGCCTCGGCCGCAACTCTGCGAAGGCCTTGCGCGTGTACGTGTACAGGAAGATCAGACCCCAGTGTCGCCTTGTTACAACATGAAGCCAACATGTTTGTCCACCATGGAAAGTTACATTACTACGCCCGAGTCTTTGAGAAGCTCCAAACCGCCGGGTCTCCCTTCACACACGAGCACTCAAGATCAAGTCTGCAACAGACTCCTAACAGCTCTGTGCTATGCTACCACGGCTACCACGGCTGTATACTTGTGCAAGGAGCCGGAGCTACAGCGATGCCACCCACCTGTTGCAGCCCTTTGGCAAGTGACACATCTCAGGCTCGGAAGGCGCTGTCAAGGCCGTCAGGCTCGACACCAAAGCTAGAAGGCAGCCACAGTAAGCTGTCAGGAAATAGAAGCGTAGGACAGCAGGAGCTGGAAGCTTCGTTGGAATGCCGTGACTGTGCTTTTTGCATCTTCTTGCCCTCCCAGCTGAGTGATTTCTCAACCAGGTTTCACACTGATGCGGCTTCGGTCCAGCGAGTGCTGTGTGCTCTGTGTGTGTGTGTGTGCTTTAGGTGGTTTGTTCCTTTTTTCCAATGTCTTTGTTGCTTTCTTGGATTCAGGCGTTAATGGCGACGCGGCCACCTTACGGTCCTGCGGAAGTCGCGTGAGAAGTGGTGTGCGTTGTGTGCACATCCCAGGAGTTCCGAGGATGAGTTTGACAAAGCGCAGCGACCCAGCGCACCCAAGGCCGGGTCCAATCCGTCACTTAGGGCCGGAAGTCTTCAGGTATTTTGTGCAATGCGTGTGCCTTGAAGACAATCGAACGGTGAACGGAAGTGCTGGTATCGGAGCAATGGGACCACTGTCCGATAGTCTTGGCCGACATCGCGACATGGAGTGCTAAGCGTTCGGTGCCAATGTTCAAGCATGATTAAGATGTAGTCAGATGTAGTGCCTCGGGCGGGCACAGGTCGCTGTCAGCGCAGCCCGAAGAGCAGCCCTGGCGGCAGATCCAACATTCCACATTTCCTTGGAAACAGAGCGCCCGTTCGGATTGAGAAGAAGACTGAGATATTCGCACGAATCGCCACTGACGGTTCATGGAGTGATTCTCGAACAGAGGGCTGGGGCCTTTCATCCGAGCGATGAGGGCCGTTGTAACCTTTCAATAGTAGCAATAGTACAGCTCCTATTGCTGGACTCTTGCCCCAAGACACTGAAGGACATCCTTATCCCGCGTGATTCAGTTTCCGTGGTTCGGGATTTCGGTGGATGTCTTGCCGGAACTTGACGAGACCAAGGCACCCAAAGACTTCGACTATGATGAAGAACGTGAAGATATCGAAGCCGAATGGGAGTGAGCCATAGAGCAGTGCGAAGCTAATTTAATGGTGTGCATCGGCCGCACGAAAAACTGGGCCTACCTATGTGCACAGTTTCCCTCAGAGTCGAAGCAATAGCCGCCTTGACTTGATCAAGCCGTTTTGGTCGTAGAAATCTTGAAGCTTGGGATTTGCACATGGCGGACCATGCGCTCTGAAAGCTTCCTTGGAAACGCCCACATTCCAGAGAACATTCTCTCGAAATCGAGCGGGGAGTGTCCACAGTGTGCCTTAGCAGCTTAGCATCGTGAGAAGAGTCTGTACATAGGTTGACGCGAGCGGGGACCGAAGGAAAAACGGGCAACCCACCACCCTCTCTAACACGCGACTCGGAGAGCCCGGAGCCGAGGTCCAGAGCGCCTTTCTCTCTGAGCTTCTGGGAATCCCCAGAAGTCCTGCCGTGTGGAGCTCCAAAAGGCCAGCCGACCCATGCAAATCGCACTCCCTCTGCAGAAAGTGATCCGTATCCCCGAAGATAACGGAAATCAGTGTTGCAAAACACGGAGCCCAATTTCAAGAAGTGTTGCAAAAATGAGAAACCCACATTCACTCTGCAGTGCAGGTCGCGCAGGGTCTCTTTGGCTGATGGCTGTACAGGACCATTGCAGCCGAAATGTCGTCGGTGGCTCCACCTAGCCACGCACCCCCAACATAAACTTGCCAGCATCCAGCAGCACGAAAAACCAAGTGACGTTCTTGGCGTCCGGTGCCCATATAGAATAGTCATATGTTATGAAGAGTCTACGATGGACATGCTCAGGTAGGCTTTCAGGAAGTACTCACAGTTCCTGAGAGAGTAATTGGGTTGTTTGATTGCGGTTTTGCGACAGTGGTCCAAGGCTTTGAGTTTAGTGCATCATGCTTTGGGCGATAGAGCGGGTTTGTGTTGTGATTTTGAGACCACGGAGTCAGCAGAAAATGCTGCGAACATCTGAGCAGTCAGAACTCCACCATGACTTGATTATCGACTTGATTCAACTTCATTCTGGTTGCAAATTCTCTCAGATTGTGCGCTTGTTTGGTTTCTGCCCAAAATTTCCAATGTCTTGTGAGGTACTCGCAATACTTACTGAATATCTCTTGTCTTTCCAATTCCTTTCTGGCTTCTTTCAAGCATTGTCATCACGGAATTTCGCAGAGGGAGAGGATCGGTTTCGGAGGAAACCTCCTCTGACCTCCCGCCTTCGAGGTGTTGGTCTCTTGAAGGACGCAACCAGAAGGCTCTGTAATGGAAGTTTCGAAAATGGTTGAGAAAAATAGGAAAGATTTGCAGTGTCAGCTTTGGGAGCTAGAGAGAAACCAGAGAAAAATCAGCTACTGTTACAGCTGCTCTCCCTTATGTAGTATTTCCTCATGTTTTCACCCTGAGCACTTTCTGTCAGCTTCTGTCAAAGGTTTGGCAATCACACTCTTTCGGAGCTCCTTCGAATGTTTCGTATCTATCAGTCACAACTTTGTCCCAGTTCCGGCCAAGAGCAGCCGCTGGAGCAGGTAAGTTCGTAAGTGGGTTTTGCCGATGCGCGCGCCTCCGTTTGTTTGCAAGGCTTAAGCTGCGTATCACCTTGGCCCTGCCCACTTAATCGGATGGAACCCGTTCATGGGCTGAATACGAGAAATGCACTCTCTATCTGACCAAGGGATAGGTGCTGGACACACTGCTGCAAGCGTGAAGGCGCTGATGTTATGTACTCATGACCGGTGCACGGGGACAAGACGGATGTGCAGAAACCATCGTACAACTCAGCTTTGTGAACAGAGCGTTTGGGAGTTTTGGCATGGATGAGCATGAGAAGCTTCCCTGACAGAGTCGGGGACCAAGTCCGTGACGGCTGTGAAGAGAGACAAATACCACTCGTAAGTGTGTGTGGCTGGCAAGCCCTAGGCCATGCACCTCGTCAGCACAGTCGCGAACGAGGCAGACTCAGGCAGGTTGTGCTGATTCGTCGTGATGTCATTGGTCGTTCGTGCTGTCTTTGGGAGTGCCTGGTGTGCACTTCTGTTCCGCCTGCAGGCTGCCACCGGCAGAAGGCTCGCCCAATGTCAGAGCATCTGCTGTGACGGGCCAATGGAAGTTCGGTCCTCAGCGTTGCTCTTGGGTTGGAAGCTGCTGCGCACATACGCACCCTTCAGGGGAAATCTTGGTGGCCTAACTTGGAAAGCTGCTACTAGTAGCTGTAACTATGCCTCCCAGAGACATAATATGGTGCAGCAGCTGCTGCTACTCATGACTCAAGCCTACCAACACCGTGAGGTGCAAAGTTCCAGGGTTGGAGCCACTTAGCGCTGGGAGCCTGTGAAGCTCCAGAGCCAAGCCTCGTCTAGGACTTCGAGGAACTCCGACACTTGGGCAGAGGGGCCTTCGGCGAGGTTTTGCACTCGCCTCAGGATGCCTTAGGCAGAGGACTCATCGATGAGTCTTTCTTTTAAGTTTTGCCAGGATTCACCTTTTAGAGTTGCTGAGATTCGTGAGTAGCTTGATGCTGGTTTTCCTGGCGAGTCGGAGCTCGAGATTTTTTCACTCCATGCGGGGGAGGGCCGGCAAAAGTTGCAGAGCGAGCTGCTAGTCTCCTGCGCCTGCTGATGTAGCGTGCTTTGGCGTATCCTTTCGATCAGAGGCTCATGCGGCAGACTTCGACGGGCCTGCTGTGTGCAGCGTGCGGCCAAGAAGAAAGACGCCCAAAGGAAAGAAGTGGACAAAGAGAGAGGGGATTTTAGCCATGTTGGCTGCTGGGCGGGAGGCTTAAGGGGGCTTGGTGCGTAGCTTTCGACAGCCAGGAGAGAAGCAGAGACCCACTTTGGAAGACCCACTCCTCCCTCGAAGTTTTGGAGACGTCGGGAATGTGTGCCTGTCAGCTATGCTTTTTGAAGAGACGCAGTATGCTCATAAGCCTTCCTGCCTCAGGGGATGTGGCCGGTCCTCCTAAGTAATCTGACTACTTGGGCGAACGTGTGCCTGCGCAGCACGTCCATAGCGGAGACTTTATTCCGGTGTGCGTTCTGCTGCTCTGCTGGTTCCTCGGTTTCCTGAGTGGGGCAGCAGTGCAGCAGTATCCCTCTGGTATCCGCTAGGTGCCGTCATATTCTGTGGCTGCTCATTGGCGAATTCCTCGGACCCCCTAGAACCCCCGCCTCTCTTTCGGGAGAGGGTAGGTTAGCGGTGTACCGCCGCCATTGAATGGTTGTCACTGTCTCCACTACTGCTCTTCATCGCGAGTGGTAGTCACTGTGGAGATTGAGGCCACTGCTCAATCCGAGGAACCCGCTGAGGCGACTGCTGAGTGGAGGTAGTCCTGCCGGTGCGCCCTGTGCTGCTGCAAGCAGCAGTCCGGGATCGGCCCTAGATTTCCGAGGAGGCCTTTCAACCCGCAAGCTTTGGGATCCAGAACAGCTGCCCTGACCTGGCCGCTTGGTTGGAAATTCGTCGTCGTATTCTCCAAAGCAACTTCGGTCGGAGGACACTACACGATTGGTGAAATTCGCATCACAGGCAGACGTCGAGGCCTTCTGTTTGATTTGGGCTTGGGATTTGGCGCTTTGCCCCCCATGGTGCAAGTCTTTGAGATGCCGTGGCGAATCCTTGGAGTGTGCAAAGCCACCTCTTTGGTGGTGGCTGAGCATCCGCGAAATTGGCCTGCTGCTGGCTATTTCGGCCCGGGCGATCACTCCCAAACAGATCACAGCGGGCAACAAGCATCACTGGCGACCTGGGCCAACCATAACAGTGGTCGTGGAGGGCCTTCTCACCCGAGCCAGGATGCGGCATCGGCCCCTTCGGGGCTCCGGTGTCCTCGACGCCGATCCACTCGACGAGGATGTCAAGGTGGCCGCGCCAGGAGGCCTCACACTTGTCACAAGCCCTCCCTCTTCGTAAGCTGTCGGGTGCCCGTGGAACAATGCTGGCGGAGCGTCTTCGACTTTCGATGGAGAGCTCCCCCCACGACTACAATGCGGCGACCGAATGCCTTGCAGCCCAGTTGGTGGGCGACCATGTGTCAGGGCCAGTAAGGATCCGGTGTCGTAGTGCCATGGAGGGCGCTCGCACCACGCAGGCAGCAGCGCACCCACTTGCATTATGCCAAGAGGTTGCGAAAGTGATCGAGGCTGTTGCAAAAGTTCGGCATGCGGCTCAGGGAATTGAGCAGACAGCAGGGGGGTTGAAACATGAACCGGAGGTCGGGGACGTCAGAGATCATAAGGGGGGGGCTCAGCGCTTTGTCATTTTTGGGCTGCGCAGCTTGCGGAGAGCCTTCATTGGCGGACCATTTTGGGCATATCGGTTCAAGCGATCTAATCATATCAATGTTCTTGAATGTCACGTCTACAAAAAACCCTGCTGCTGTTAGCTCCTATGAATCACCGGCTCGTGATCCTGCAGGATTCCATGGCAACCTTAGGGGCAACTGCGAAGGGAAGAAGTTCAATTAGATCTCGCAATAAGGTTCTTCGTCAGGCTACGTCCATTCAAACTGCTACGAAAATTTATCCTTCAGGTATTCACTGCCCCACATGGGCATAACGAGCCGATGATCCTTCCTGCAATCGTCGCTTGCGTCCAGCTCGAACTGCCTTGCCTAGGTGGTTTCTAGCCTTGAAACAAGACCGTCTGGTGCAGGCTCAGGATGAGCTTGATGACATATCGAGAGCACCTCGGTTCACAGGTGTGGCTCTTTTGGCTGCTAGTGGCAGTTTGGAATTTTGGAAGCGGATGGCTCTGTGCTCGGCTTCTACGCCTTGCTTCGTTGCTGCGAGATCATTGCACTGAAAGTCAGCGATTGTCTCATGACGTCAGAGACTGGGTGCAAAGACGTCGCTTTCCTGCGTTTGGCGCTGGTCAGATCGAGGAGCCAGGATACAAAGCACCAGGTTAGACGTGCCCTATGTCATCAATTCTATACCGAGTTGTTTCAAGACTATGAACCGTCCGAGAAACTATGGCCTCACTCTTCAAGCCTTTTCCGTGTGAGGCTCCAACAGTTGCTCAAAGAAGTGGTAAATGATCCACAGTTGCCAGCAAATGGCGCCGGAGGTGGATCTGCTGACACAGGTCCAAATGCTAGTGGCTAGTGGCGAAGTGCCATTTTGAGAGTTCACGTCCGAAGCTGGTACAGCTTTTCCCAACACAGCAGTCCCGCCCTCCCACCCGAGTAACACCTTTGGGAATACGGGTGCATAATCAGGCGGTTTCAGCTGTCTTCGAATGATCCATTTGTGCAAAGCTGGGCGATGGAAAAAGTTGGCGACGGAGCGATCACAAGATGATGATACACGCGTGTCAGCCATTGCTTTTGACAAGACGCAGTATGCTCCTAAGCCTGTTTGCCTCAGCCGCCACTTCCCCGCCGCACCGCGACGGGTGCATAATGATGCGCTGTCAGCTATCTTCGATTGTGAATTCCTGTTGTGCAGAGCTTGGCGATGGAAAAAGATAGCGAAGGAGCGATCACAAGATGATGATACAAGCATGTACGTAATTACACCCGTTGCTGCAATTTGATCTATACAAATTGTCATCGTCAGGTCAAGAAGCTTGGTAAAACGGCGCTGCCGGTGCCCTGCTAAGTTGCAAAGCTGGTCACTGATTCATGACTTGATCCGCGCACGATTGTCGTCAGCTCGTGCGGGTGAGCTATGGTGAGCTTGACCTTGCAACTCACATGTCGACGTCTTTATGAGCTCGTGCAAGGCTGGCGAGGAAGCGGAGCACTTGGCGGAGGTTGGAACCGGGCGGGTAGGCCTTGTAGCATAGACCAAAGCAAATCAAGGCAGTGTACACGGTGCTCCAGAACTTGCACCTCTCCCCAAGGGTCCGTGGTATCTCTACGGCCATGGTGGCTATGGCTGAAGGTTGCAGATTATATAGCGAAGGCAAGCACCTTCTAATGAGTCTTGTGGTCCACTTGCGATTCGCAGGTGAAGGTCTTACAGACACTTGAGCATCCGCCCAGCGCCGAGAGTCTGGCCTTCTGGTCATTTTTGGTCCGTGCAGTGCCTTCCAACATCACAATCGCATGGGTATGTTTTTTCTTGCCTTGGCAACTTTTTTCGTCGCCCTTCTTCACATTGTTCTGTTTGTGGTTGCTAAACTGCCCCCAATCACACTTCTGCTGTAGTGGTCGTTGATAAGCGGCGAAGTTTCAGCACATGAATCAAGACTCGGGGCAGAGATGTCCGGCGAAGGGAGTGTGCTGGTCTGTGTGTATGCACCGGCCCATTGCCTACTTGACAGCTTGAAAACTTAGTCTAGCCTACTTCCAGCTCATGAAAGGAAGGGCACGGGCGGATCACCCCACACATTGTGTTGAGGACTTCGGGCCTCGAAGCTGTTTTCGTAGCTTTTCTTAGCCGGTGCTTCTCCCGATGTTGAAAATCTACGACCCTCATTATAAGCCAGTGTGTGATCTGCCTGGCACCCGTGATGGCGAACTCCAAAAAGACCGTACGACCCTGGACCAACCACTACACTGTCATCACACTGAGTAGAAAGAGATCGGTGTGTGCGAATGCGACCATTTCATGGCTTTCGCTTGTATCATATGACTCGTTTTTTGAGTGGTTGGCGGTGGTAGCGGCGTCAGAAAAGGTGCATTCTTCGCTACTACGGATCGATTCAACTTGACGAGTCTCTGAGCTTGGCGGCCCTGGCAGCGATTACTTTTTCAGCTCCCTGGCATGTCTGGCTTGCAAGCTTCAGGACAGACGGATGCGGCACATGCATTTGGGCTGAAGCGCCGCGACATGATGTACTGCGACATGCAGTTTCAGATGGACATAGTCGGTAGATATTCTCTGTCGCTGTGAGTTGAGTCGCTATTAGTATCCCTCATCATTGCAGGTGATGGAATTCGCAGATTCTGGCGACCTCCAGCAACTGTTGAAGAAGTCACCTGCTTATTGGGTTGCAACGGAGTCGGGGATTGCTGTATCAGTGCTTGCCCAGAAATCATCAGATTCGACTTCGTCTTTCGCGAGATTTCGATCGGACACACGAGCCCGCCTGAGGCAAATGGATTCGGAGAAGTTGTTCGAGGCAGCTTCGGAGTGTTGGAGGAAATGGGAGCTGCATATTCACCCGGACATGCAATTCAGTTGGCAAGGATCTTGCATTGCACGTATGTCATGCAGTATCAGTCATCGATTCTGAGGCCGCCGACGAAGTTATAGATGCCCAGAAGCCAAAAAAGGTTTCCTTGGGAGGGCCAGCCCAAAAGAAGTGCGGAGAGGATAGAATTGTGGGGGCCTTGGGCGTCCGAATGGAGGAAGTTCACCGCCAGGTTGCAGCGCTTTTTGCAATCTTCTCCCAACTGGTTGTCGCCGGGAGCTGAAATTGGCGGCGTCAGTGCTAAACTGATATGTGAATCTCCGTTGAATTCCGTGATCAAAATCGCTGCAGAACTGGGGCAATCTCGGGCATGTGTGTTCGGGCTATAGGGAAGAGAACCGAAGTTCGTTCTATCTCTGGTTGCATTTTCCTTAAAAACACTGGAAATGTCTCCTGACACCACTTGCATCCACTCGCCGAGTTGCCTGCAGCGAGAGCATGAGCGCCACAAATCTCATCCGCCCATCGCCCCGCACAGCCGAAATACATTTGCATCATACACTTGTGCTCGTCAACGTGTCCCGCGAGTTTACTTGTACTTCCCCTCTGCCTTCAACGAGAACGCTGTACCGTCAACGAGTCAACGTAGCACTGTTGAAATTTGCAAGCTGCGTGCTGTCAAACTTCGCTGAGGCAATGGCGCATGCACTCCGGCAGCAAAGATGGAGGGAATTTGTGTTGGCAGGCGATGGCAGGCTTTCCTACTGTAGATGGTGCCACAGTCCAATGCAGGTCCCGGCTTTCGCAATCAGGGTGGGCATCAAGGTCGCCCATTCATGCCGTCTCGTTCCCGCGCCAGCCCGAGGTTCACGCACGCCGGGTGCTTCACAGAGACCTGAAACCATCCAACGTCATGTTGACCAGGCCAGAAACCCCTTTTGCTGCGACTGCAGGGGATGCTCCCTGCGAAGTTTCTTGCTTTAAATTCTCAACTCTCCAAAAACGGCGCATGGCAGAAGGATGATGAAGGATGGTTTCTCACGCCAGGCAAACGCAGAGGTTGTTTCGAAACTCTGGGTATGATATCAGCTCCTGCCAATCCTCTCTCCAGCATACCTGCTCTGCAGCTTGTAGTTCCTTGCCGCAAGTGTCAGCAAACGAGCTCTGCCAGTTCCGGGCTCCTGAAGCTCGGTGACTTCGGGGTGGCCAAGGCTGTGCTCTCATTGCTGGCCCGTCTGCTGAGAGAGCGAGCAGCGAGCTTGGACATGTGCGCAGGTCATGGCTGGCACCACCGTGGTCGATAACATGACCTGTGTCGGCTCGCCCACGTACATGGCTGGATGCTCATGCCGTCCATAGGCCATAGGCATGAGTTTGCCTGCCACATGCGAGAGAAATTGCAACACGTCAGAGGCTCCCGAGATTGTCGCCGGCGAGGTGCGTATGCTGCATTGGCAAAGGAACAGTAGTGGGTGAGTGCACTGCGTGAATTCTTGGATGGTGAGTGGCCTGCCAAGCTTGGCACACCCTCAGCTGAGGCGTATGGAGCTCCTTGCGATGTGCGCATTCTTAGCTCAACAGCCAGTGTGCCATTCATTGCCGACCATGCTTTCCAGATCTTTTCGAGGCTTTGCTCGCTGTAAGGCCTAGTGAAGACGTAGCCTGTGCTGCTTAAGGTCTGGAGCCTGGGCGTCATGCTGTACGAGTTCGGTCCTCAAAACCACGTGAAAGGTGAGTGATGCAGCAGCTCTTATCTTATCTGTATACTTCTAAGACTTTGCTGCCATGCGGGAGCTTGAGGGACTATGAGCTAGAAAGAGCGGACGAGCGAACGAGAGCGCGGCGAGAGAGAGAGACACAACCCCACAGCCGTGACCAGCACCTGAGTATGGAAGTCGCTAATACTTGTTTTAGGGGGCCCAAGCTGAGGGGGAGTGCAGATTCCCGTAACGACCGGGGACGCCGGTGCAACAATACAGAGTAATTCAGGGTTCATGAGTCGGGGTTTCGGGGATGGCAGCCAAAAGCCTGAGGGGGCATCCGGCTGTGTATGGCACAAGTACAGGCAAGGCGGGCTTCAGGCTTAGCAATGGGGTGCAGGAGCAGTCGAGTGGGGGTTTGACGCCTAGCCTGCAGGCCTGTTGGGGGTGATGGGTCTAAAGGTTACTGGGGGGTCCCGGTGCATTAGCTCGTGCAGAGCCGACTGTTTCGCTCCTGCCTAGTTCCCCAGTGCGCGAACTCGCGCGGGGGTAAGCACTCGCTGACCCGTCTGGCTGTGCTGAAGAAGAGAAAATGTGTCGTTCCCCTTCCTCTTACCCTTGCGAAAGACAGAGAGACTTTGGCTAGTTACTCTATTTTGTGGACCACTGGGTGAGTTTAAGGCCTTCGGGGAAGCAAGCACAACTTGGTTATTTAGGTCTGACGATCCTGACGGATGGCTCTAGATATGATTGATGGATGGTCGCTGCAAGCGTACACAGGGGAGCACAATTCTGGCTGTTCGTGTCCGGAAGGTGCCGGGCAGTTCTTTGTTGCAGATGAGTGGTTGTGCTTGGCATGTCGTTTTGGGCAGACGCCTTGCCACACCGTGCCCCAAGCCAATCTTGATGTAAAGCTTTCAACCTGAACACGGGATCCGAAGTTTGACATTCCGTGGCTGTCCTCTCAGGCTGGCCAGCTTCAAGCGACCCTTCGAGGGAAGAAGCATTTGCCCCATCGAGCGTCGTCGATTGAGGGCTTGTAACAGTCAGAATAGGGATCACCTCGTGCTTGACATGGGGAAGTGAGCGCCAGCAGACAATGAGAGAGATCATTCTTCACAGTGTTCACATGGTTGATGGAGATAGATCATGCATCGGGCACGTATGGGCACGTTGCAAAAGACAGTTGATGCAAGGTCTTGGCGAGCTGATCATGAGGATCTCTTCCGGGAAGCTGGAGCTCTCAGAATTTCTTGTACTTATCGCGGATGCACCGTGCAAGGTACCAAGAGGTCCACCGACATATTCTTGCACAAGGACACATTCTCAAGCGCTCACACAAAACAAAAGAAGCAGCCACAAGCAAACAACCGAGCAAATATAAAGGATGTACGCTGCAATAGTACAAGCTTGCTTGGCAAGCTAAGCCAGGGCAGCTAGGGGTTGGCGACCTCTGTCAAGAGACAGAGTCAGGAACCCAAAGTTTCGAGTTCATTTGCTCTCCTGCCAAGATGCCAAGCTGTTTCTCTCAACTGGACAAAGATGTGAGGTGTGAGCGAGAAAGACTGTGCTCTAGTGGTGGTTGCGGCAACGTCATATCGAAAGCCCGTTCACGAGTTCCTGTAACTATCACTTCTCTCAGTTGGCAGTCACTATAGTACTTGCGCGCTTTAGCGAACATCTCCGTCGTTGGACCACTGACGGATTGATTGTGCATTCTTTGTGCTTGTGTTGCGCTCGCCGTGGGACATCCCAGTCGAAGCCAGCCCGTGAAGCTTCATCAGGTTCGAGTCTGTTGGAGCTCACCTCGCCGACAAGCCCGCTGCCTAGCTGTGCGGATGCATGGATGATACAATGTAACGTGGTTGCCTTCAATCCGCTTCGCCCTGTTGTCAAACACTGGGCCTTTGACGTTGTTGAGCGAACGATCTCAGATTTCTCTCTTGTCTTGGCTTGGCTTCAGCAGCTCGGCATCAAGAGCAAGATGCAACAAATGAGTCCCAGACAACCCGAACTCCAGGCTGCACTTGCCGCCGTTTGCCGCCTTGTTGCCATGGCCTTGGGGCCCATCACCACGCACGCGCTGAACACGGCCACTGGCCGGCCTGCGGAAAACCTGCAGGTCACGTTGAAGCAGGCAATCTGCAAAGGAAGACCTGGCGAAGCTGAGATATAGACAGTTTCGGTCTTCAGCTATGTGCCACAGGATGCTTTTCCATTGTCGCAGGCTCAGGGTGGGGATGCGGACGGCCAGATCGATTGGAAGCTTCTGAAGGAGTTTTGCCATGCAACAAGCGGCAACTCTCGCAGCCGTGTCAGCCATTTTTTCCGCAGGTGACTCGCACCAACTCCGACGGCCGCGCAACGGGCCTGGGAGAAGGGCTGCAGCTATCGCCGGGCGAGGCCGGGGCTCTGTACAAAGTTGCTCGACACTCGCACCCTTCGGTGCTGCCGACTATGCGACCTTGGCCAGGTCTTCGAGCTTTCCTTTGCCACCTCGGAATATTTCAAGGAGCAAGGCAGGCTCCCGCGCTTTTTCTTTGCCTCAGTCGCAGTATGCCGAAATTTGGTTTACAACTCCCAGATGATCAGATGAGGCGTGACCGAGCGGAGAAGTCTAGTACTGTATACTTGAAGATCTCGAGGCCAGATTGATGCTCCACCCTCCGAGGCCACCCACCCGAGGCTACAAAATGGACGAAAGAAGTTGAGGAAAGAGGTAGTCTCCCCGCCCTCAACCTACCGTTTGGAGTGTAATGTGCAATCCTGCAAACGGTTCAACTCAAAGCAGATTCGAATTGGGGACCGGCCGCGATTTCGGGCTTCAATGGTACCTAGGTCATGCCGTTTGTATGCGTGTCCGACAGGCACGCCGTGCTTCTACCCTGTTGTGAGGATCGTTTTTGAGATCCAGGAAGCAGAGAGCCATTACCACGTTCCCTTGCTGATCTCGCCGTTTGGCTACTCAACATACCGAGGGTCATGACTTCGTTGCTGTCCCTGGCGAGCATACTGCCAAAGATTTGCAGATCGCTGGGCGATTAGGAGCCTTTGTTTATCGTGGGTGTTGCGAAGACAGCACATGGCTTGTCGCACTCGAGCCAGGGAAAAAGCAGTTTGTGCCTACGATGCGCAAGACACAAGCCACATACCGCGGCAGCTCGCACTGCAGCACTCAGCATAGCAAGTCTGAATACTCCAAAGTTGTATGCAACAGGATGCCGCTCTGAGCTCAAAGGGCTGCTGAAGAGATGGCTTGACTCTAGAGGCCCGGAGGTCATGTACTCGAAGATGCCGTGGCGCCGGTGCTGGACTGGGGCCCAAGTGCATCGACTCTCGCACACTAGCAGTCCTATGCACTTCCGAACGAGGCGAAGATGTTGGTGGTGGATCCGAAAGGTCGCGGCCGAATTTCAGAGGCAGTCGCCGCCCACCGGGCGATTACAATCCATGTGCAGTGCCGTTGAAACCTTCCTGTGGCCGTTTGCCATGGAAGAAGCCTATGTCCGCACTTTGGGCAGGTCGTGCGCGCACCTTCGGTGCAAACGTTTGTCGCTTCTCTGAAGACCAGCCGACATCTCAAAGCTTGGAGCCTGCAGCTTCTGTGTCAAGCATCTGAGTTGTGCCTTTCCGTGTGTTTGGCACAGCAGACTTTCAAGAATCCAAGGTGCTGTCATTGTTGCTTCTATTATACAGGAGCTCGAGGCCAGTAGCAACGATGCGCATACTGTCATACTGGTAAGCGGTAAGTGTGGCCTGAAAGTGTTTTGCGTAAACCAGCTTGCTAGCGAGTGTGAGTCCTTTATGTGTGTGTGTGTGTTGGTGCATGCGAGTAAGTAAAACATGCCAATGCATTTGTGAATGAACTTGCCGTGCGCTTAGCGCGCAACTTTGCAGATGGTGCTGGGTAGCCAGGACCCTCAGAAGTCCAAGGGTATCGACGTCAACACTGCCGAGCCCTCAACCTGCTAGATTGCATGTTTGTCGAGATGATGCGCCGAACGTGGCGCCTTCATGGCTCTGGAGAGGGCGAAGCTCCACGCTCTGCGCTTGCTCTGAGGCCGCGGTCGATGAGCTGATTGCCGAGTTCGGACCTTACCTTCTACGATTCTACGAGCTGCATGTGCGAAGCTGCCATCGAGAAGCTGCTCAACATCAGCAAACGCAAGCGAGGCTTTCTGCCAAATCGCCTAAGCGAGCAGAAGCTGCAGAGAACCTGCCCAAAGGAGTTGGCCAGGCACTGGGCTGCGCAAGAAAAGGATCCATTGATATCTAAAAGGGCCATGCCAGTTGCATGGCCAGCGGCCAGGACTTATCACAATCCATTTTTGCATGTGCACGGCAGGTTCGCGGTAGTTTGGCTGCCAAAGTGGACAAGCAGGTGGACAGATCCTTATCCTGCAGGGGAAATGCAGCAAGCATCTCGCAGCTATTGCCACAGCTGTAGCAAACAGCCCGTCTGGTTCAAATTAAAGACACAGAACTCCGGCCCAGGTGGAGGACGACTCTTTGGCTTTAAGTTTAACATCCTCGGACTTGGGGACGGCAGTGCACGGCCGCCAAGTAACTTGAAGCCATTCAGGTCGATTGTTCTGCTTGGCATTGCACGCAAAGGCTTGCAGCCAAACATCATGGCCAGAACAGCAAGGAGCCGAGTGCTCCATTGTTTGGTGTTTCCAGTCAAGGCAAGCAATGGTCGCCGAAGAGCCAGGCAGTCCGCCACCAGAACATGAGTCCTGCTGAGGCTCAGGCGAAGTTAGCTTCAATCTGACGGTCGTGGGCTCAATCTGGCCCGCGGGCAACGAAGCAAGGCACGCTGAGCTAGAGCCGGGGCCGTCAGTCTAGAGCACCGGTGTAGTGGACATTTGAAACTCCCTAGTGATACAGAAGAAGTAGGACACTCCCAACACTTGGAGCAGGAGCCTGTCTGATCGCAAAAAAGATGTGTGCAAGGGATAGACTCTGGAAAGTGTGTCAGCGGCTGTGGAACCTGTTCTTCAATGCTGCATAATGCCACCATGCCGCTGACACTTCAGGCCACAGATGCGCTGCAAGTGTCCAAAAAGGTCCCTGTTCCTGTTCTGAACGAGGACACGCATGAGGCACCGCAACGGGCACAGCCCTGCGAACTTGCGTGTTCTTGTCGGGGGATCCAGGCTACTTCAGGCAAAGTGAATTCAGAGAGCGGGTCCATGTTGAAGGCACCCTGATGGCTTCTTCCCAGGCGGTCAAAGCTGTCTCGCAGAAATTCGGACAGCGATCTGGAGGCCCATGTTTTTCTGAGCCAAGCCGAGGACTTGCTTTGGTAACAGCCCAATCTGGGCTCTAGCAAAGTCTTGTGTCGTTCTGCAAGTTGGGAAAATTCGGCGAGCTCCTTCTGCAGGCCTTGGTGTCTCTCACGATAACCACGCACTGCGAGATGTGCCAGCCACAGCTGGCGATGTGATCAGGAATTCCACGATGTCATGTCAGTCGTTTGATTTTCAAGGCGGCCTTTGCATCGGTGAAGCGGACATGAAATGTCACCCGATCTCAGGTGCTCGGCGATGCGCTCGAGCTGGGAGGCCACCCCCATTGCGTTTCCGTGTGCAAGCATATTGCAAGCATGTTACCAGGAGGGCCTAGTAATGTCAGGACTGTCGTAGCCTAGTTGGAGCGTTTGGTTCGCCATTCGAGGGACCAGCCGAACGGAACAGGGCACAGCAAAGCCGGGAGCCTGGAATGCAGGGGAGTGGAGAGAAAGCAATGAAAGTGGGGACAAACAAATTGAATCAAGGTTGGAGAGAGACCTTTTAAAGCGATTTCCGGATGATCCGAAGGCCTGGTAGAGATGTGCGAGCGAGGTCAGATGCTCTAGCTCGCAGCAGCTCGAACACGAGCACGCAGATGCGGAGTAACAGCCTCGGAGGGGTCCATGGACCTTAACGGGGAAAAGAACACCTGCCCATCCTGCAGCATGATCATGCTTCAGAGTATCGGTAGCTGTCGCGAGTTTCTCGAAATGCCTCCGGGCCAACCAGAATGCAGCGGCGAGCTTCCTCAGGCCAAGCAGGCGGCTTGCCCATGCAGGGCACCCGTGATCTCGCCGAAGCAGTGCTTCGCGATGCCATGGGCCCCGAGGCCGATGGAAAGAATCGAAAAAAGGTACCAAAACGTACCGTCCCCCGTTCCGTCAGACAACGCTTCCGAGTCCTTCGACTCGGCAGGTTTCGGCTCGCAGCGGGCCCTTGCAGTCGACTTCCGGAACCGTCGTTGCAGAGGCAAGCAGGGCGGTGAGCTACAGGAGATGACTTGTCAGTGATTTGTTGTCACGAAGGCAGTTGCTTTGTGGTTTCTCGTGCCTTCCGTACACAAGGGGGAGGCCGGCAGCGTCCACTTCGAGCACGTGACACCGGGCTGGAAGGTCAAATCCTCCAGGAGTCACTCTTATCACGTTTTGAGGGCGAAGGTAACTTGGGCAATTCCATCTCGTTTTGACGGGCCTGTGATTGCAGCATCTGCGGAAATTAGAATCGTGTTCTTGTTGACAACCTGGCATTTGGCGCCGCCGGCAAGCCTCAACAGCGAGCAGAGTAGGGGAGATCCAAATAGCATCGGGGCCATGCTTGTCCAGGCCTTAGGCCCTTAGGCCCTAGGCCATCAGGACGGACGCTCTGTCACTGTAGTGGCAGTTCACAGTCCGGCATTCTGTTTCTGGCCTGCTACAGACCTTGCATGTGGGATAGTGCAAAGATCTCTCTGAGCAAGCAAAAACATCTGCGCTCAGGTCTCGTCCAGAGCTAACCTGAGCTTCCTCCGCCATGCGGCGAGGGCAAGCCAGAAGAAGCGAGTGTGTGTAATGCAAAAAACCTCGTGTCTAAGATCTATGTGCATAGCTTCTTCCCATGCAGGCGGCTGCCACGAGTAGCAGCCTCCCACACGCAGAGAAGGCTGTGCTTGTGAAGGAATTGCTTCTGATCATAGTTCCCCAGACCTCGGCGGGAGCACCTGCTTTCTTGCCTGCAGGTGGATGGGGTCACGTATGTGTCGGATGCAGCCTCCGCTGACAGAGCTCTGTCCGTGCTGAAGAGGCATGGCAAAGTACGACCTTGAAAAGCTGGATTCCATTCGATTTCTGTAGCCTTTAGCACTACGAAGTCGGCATTGATACTGCCAAAAGAATAGCCTGATCCCTCGGAGGTGCTCCGACAAGGTTGTCGCCTGGGACACCGAAACAACAGGGGCCAGCATCCTGGAGAGCGCTCCTCGTAAAGTGCTGCTGGTTTCGGGTACTCGCAGGCTCGCGCTCGATCGTAAGAGGGCCCACTGCTTCCATGATCGTCTCGATGCGGAAAGTCTGGCGGAGTCTAGCGACAGGCCGGGTGTGCTTGGACTGGATGCACACACTTAGGTAGACCTGCGGCTTGGCGCGGGCCCTCGTTGGTGCGTCCAGCTGAAGTTCGCAATCTGTCATCCCAGCGCTGTCGACGGCATGTCTCATCTTGGCTCTCCTTTGCATGAGGCCTCTCACACAGCGATCGTGGCCGTGTTGTTTGTGCAACTGCCTATTGCGGTGATGATGTTGACTTCGGCAACGGACCTCTGACTTGCGAATGGCATGTTGATATAATTCTCAATGTCGCTTGGCAAAGACGAGCCGTATGCATGTTTACTGCGCATGTGCTTGCATTTTACGATGATCCTGCTTTGGCCCTTGCCATGTCCTGTGCAGGACCTCGCCTTCTGATTGACAATGCCGGGCAGTCACAAGGCAGACCCATTTAGCAAGTCACGCACCGCGGCAGCTCTTCCGCACACTGCGAAGGTCTTCTGCCCATGTTCAAGGGCTACTTTGAGGAGCTGTTGCTGCAAGGGGCATCATGGAAGTTGAACTTGATATCCACTGCGGCTTGATGGCACTCCAATAAAGCCTCGGCATGGAGGCATGGACGCTGAACCACGCGGCACGGATGCAGCGCAAGTGTTACTTGCGCAGGATCCGCAGTACAAGAAAGTGTTTCACAACTATGCCTTCGATCGACACATGCGCCCACCTCAGCTGTTTCGGTCGCAATCATGGCGAGCAGTCCTAGGTGCCGGCACGAGGATTCCTCAGCGCTGAGCGCCAAGCCGAGGTTGAAGCGTGAAGGCTGTCCCGTGCAGGGTCTAGAAGCAGATACGCAGCAGGCCCAGAGTCACAACTCTGCTGGGCAGCAGATGTTTCTACAAGGTCCATCTTAGGTTACATGGCAATTTGCTGTGTGTAAATCCTGCAGCGTGACAAGGTTGGTTCTTGCCCGGATCCAAGACACCGGCAGAAGTGCTTGGGAGGGCCCTGGGAGGCCTGATCTTCAATTAAAAACAACAATCGAAAGCGAAACTCACGAGACGGTTGGTATCCATGTCGAACGCACATGCTTCGGCAAGAGATGTGATGCGAGATGGAGGATTGGGGGTCATGCCATGCGGACAGTGAAAGCCAGGGCCACCATGCAGCGGAAGAACGAGCAGCTAAAGCAGTCCTATGCGCGCATGCAAGTAGCAGCTCGGCAGCTTACTACGCTGGCTTGAACCCCAGAGAATGGTTGTAAGTAGCTTGACAAGAGAGTAAACAGTTAGGGAGACACGTGGCGAGCAGTGGTCTGGTGGGTAGGTTCTAGCGGCTAAGTGCATCCGCACATAGTATCATAGAATGCGTGCTTCAGAGTCATGAGTTGCACATGGCAGTGTCGCAGCGGTACTCATTGGCAAATCTGTCTGTGTGTGTGTGCGCGCGCTTTTGCTTGGGGGGAAGGCACCAAAAGAACCAACCTATCCAGTCATTGGCCTCAACTTTGCCGGACATGCAATGGACGTGAAGGCAAGGCAACTGGGACATGCTGTTCGCAAGATCTTGAGGTCCGTTGAGTGGCGCACACAGGCTGCCATGAGCACAGGGCGAGGGTGTCAAGCAGTGTGGCAGGCGCTCTCCACGTCCACGTCCGGACTTGTGCGGATCCACACGGTGGCGCTGCCCGTAGTTGAGGACGGCCTGACTTGCAGTGGCATGCAAGAGGCTGAGGAGTTGAAGAATCGAGAGCAGAAAACATCCCTCCCGGCCCCCTCAAGACTGCATCAAATGTTCCTGTATTTGCGAGGTGACCCTTGTAACAGTTTCAGGTGATCGCAGTGGTTTAGATTTGGGAGTCAGTGTCTGAAAAAAATAGTGAAAGAACGCATTTCTCCAGAGCCAATTGCTGGTGAAACCGAAACTGCATGTGATTAACGTGGGATTAGGACTGGGGTCTTGTGGTGCAATCGAGACTGTCACCTCAACGACAGGACAAAAAGAGTGGTCTCGAAAGCAATCCGTTGCAGCCTGGCATCTGCAAGTAGGATTCGAAGGCCACACGAGGCTACCTAGATCGGGTCGTGACTTTATCGGCCCTCAGCATATACATGGGACCGCACTGCCACTGCCACTAGATTCGCCTCACCACCAGCTTGGAGCCTTCGTAGCCGGTTCAACCGCAACATCAAATACCGCACGTACACACACACACACATGCGCACACATAAACACGCAAACACTTTCACTCACACTTCGCTAAAATGTTCTAGAATGATCATGATGCAGTATCGAATGCTACAATGCCGAATGGCATTTTGGTCAAGACTGGACAGGACTGGCCTTGGTCGCATAAACGAATGCTTCCCTGAGTGTGTTGTGCATTGTGGGAATCCACTGACCTCGTTTGATCATAACTGTTTGATTGTACAGTGGAATTTTTTGTGGTTCGGAGCATTGGGCTCTGCGGACAGGGAAAAAGTGAAAGAGAATGGACTTGGGAACAAGAGGGATTGGAGGAGCAATCAAGCTGTTCCCCCCTACAACCTACCACGGTGAGTTGGGGAAATGGGAAGATAGGTCATGGCAACTGTTTCGACATGTTGGATTGTACAAACCAGTGGCGCAACATTTAATGGACAATGTCCAAGGATCGATCGAATCGAGTGGTTGATGATGATCTGTGTGAAGAGTTGGGCTTGATGTACAAGCAGACTCGACGACAAAGCAATCAACTGTGATTGTTCTCACGACAACAGGCCTACATGTTGGCCCAGATTTCAGATGGTGCCGCAGGCGCGATTGTGCGCAATGAGGACACGGAGAATAGATTTGAGATTTGACGTCGACTGCACAAGCAGTTCTCACTGCCACAAAAAGCTAGAGCCACGAATCTGTTGAATGAAGTCATTGGCTTCCGTTTGAAAAATGACCACTTAGAGAGTGATCTGAGTGAGTTCATGATTTTGAAGAAGACATGAGAAGACGACTGGAAGACCATTGGACAATGACCCCTTGAGCACGTGGTTAATGCAGACGACTGTGTGTCCATTGCAGCAGCACTTGCATGTGAATGTTCGTAGCATCAACACGTTTAATGAAGCATTGGAGATTGTTTACAGCTATAAAAAGAGCAGGCATTTGATTTTGCCGAGTGCAAGGACTGACCACCAAGGCCAAGCCGACATGGAGATGGGTGCGTTGAAAGGAAGCAAAGGATGGAATTGAAAAGGAATGAAAGGTGGAAGAGAATGTACAAAGGCAAAAGAAAAGGATTCAATGGAAAAGGAATGTTCTCGCACCAGGAAGGGGCAAAGGAAAGAAAGCACATAGATCATATATAAAGGAAAAGGACTGAGAGGAATGAACGGACTCAAGGTTTTCACTGGAGCAAGGAATGCCCGAAAGGAGATAAAGGCAGGATGTCAGCTGTGACTGGTGAAGAGAACCCGCAGAGAAGCAGCAAGGGGAATGGCATCAGGATTGGAGTCGAGACGATGGATGGTACGATGATGACTGGACATGGGATGAATCGGATTGGAATTTTGAGTGGATTGGTTCTGTTGATGATTGGTCCTGTGACTGGTTATGGTTCGATGACGACTGGAGCTATTGGCCTGAGGAGTGGTCCTGGAACACTCAGGATTCAGGATAGGTGGGCGACTGAGGTTCAGCAGAGCCCGAATGGTGCCACGAGCTCAGCTACTTTCTCTCCCAGGACACCGCCAAGAATGAACCACCACAGAAAGTTTCCGCTATGACTGCCGAGCCTTCGGATCAGAATGCTTGCCGGTTAAGCAAAGCCCGGATTGATGACGAAGCTGGTAGTTGGGGCTTGCCTTTGATTGGCGCACTGAGTTCCGGAGTGCCACCAATGCCGAGTGTGCCGCAAATGCTCGAGAGTGATCCGAATGTGTTTGCGGACAGCCTGGTGGAGTTGCACATGCAGGCTGGACTGGTCGACAAGACTTGGATATTGTTCGACAGTGATGCTTGCGCGAATTGTTGTCCGGAATGGTTTGCACCGGAATATCCGGTCGTGCCTTTGAATGAGAGTGTACCGTCACTGTGGAGCTTGTCTGGAAAGACACTGGATGTGCAAGGTCGAAAGATTGTTCAGCTAGACCGTGACCGTGGCAATGGCCACTCGTTGAGTGTGCAGTTCTATGTGTGCACTGGCATCCCGTTTCCACTGGTCAGTGTTGCACGACTGTTGTTGCAGGATTTCTGGACTGTGATGGCAAAAGATTACCTTGCGCTGATTGAACCTGGCAATCCTGTGCCGATTGTTCGTCGAGGAATGTTCACTGGTGTACCTGAAGCCGGCTGTCATCCCTTACGCCGTGGCAAATGCGGCGAGACTGGCGGCGAGTTGTTTGCCAGAAGTTATGTCGGGAATAGAACAAGATCTTGGTGCCTTGGAACTGCGTGGAGCGTCGGATGTGCATGACTGTTCGATTGACCACCTTTGTCAGATTGTTGCCTTGATTGCCGCAGCTCAAGGAATGAAGTCTGCCGATGCATCCCGATGGGACACTTGGGAAGTGAATGAGCCAGAGCTGAAACTGACTCGCCATGTGCGTCAATGGCGAACAGAAATGCTTGATCCACAGATCAAACTGGCGAATAAAATGCCAGCCTCCAGCTCCTTCCGAATGAAATTGAATTGCCGAACTACTTTGACAGACGACTCACCGGTCATATCTCCACCCACGAATGGAGTGGGACTGGAGATCACCAATGGCGCCGGACGGTAAATGAGCTTTCACTGTCGTCAATGGGCATTGTGCGAGTGCCCTTGAGTGACCCACTGCGTCGCCCAAGCCCAAAGCCCAACGGGCAGATCCCCCTCTGCCTGAATGAGAACGTGGAATGGGGACTGATTTCCACCACGACTGACCGCAACTTCGTGGAGTGTGGTGGACTGGAGCACGATTGTTCCACCTGAGAAGAGATCTATGACTATGAAGATGAAGAGAATGCCGATAATGCATGGAATGATCCATCCAAGGCGAAGGGCTCGAATGATCGCACCCCCACCAATGTGCTGGCGATTGCCCAGGGCGCGAATGCCCTCGAGCCCCGCGCGGAGATTGTCCTTTGGAAGAATGCCGACCGCACTGCGAAGTGAGATCGCACTGAGCAGGCGAATGAATTCTTGGGAGTGCCCCTTGCGACTGCAACTGTTTTTGCAATGTGAAGTTTATGTTGAAATGTTGAATCGTTTTCTTCTGTGGCTTGCAGAGAATGAAGTTCTCGGATTCACGTGAATGGAGCATGAGCCGGCTGTTTGCACGTTCTCAATGTGCAGTGCAAGCCTGGCCTCCGACTGCCGGGAATGTCTTTTCCTGAGTCGAGCCAAAATGTCCAGAATGAGGCCAATGTCTTTTCGCAGCCAGTGATTGCCTCTGTTCTCTACGTTCTTTGATCGCTTCGCGAATGATGCCGTGTATGTACCTATTGTATAAATGTTAGAATGATCCTCGACTGAAGTCAGGATCATGGGACTGTGTTAAATGACACCTCCCTAGAATGCTCTAGAATGATCATGACGCATTGTCGAAGGCTAGAATGCCGAATGATATTTGGCTCAAGACTGGGCAGGACTGGCTTGGTCGCACAAAGGAATGCTTGCCTGAGTGTGTTGCGGATTGTGGGAATACCCTGATCTCGGTTGGTCATATGTACTGTAACTGGTTGATTGTATAGTGATAGTGGGATTTTGCACACTCACTCACTCCCTCGCTCCCTCCACTCACTCACCCGCCCGCCCACCCACCCACCCACCCACCCATCCACGCACTCACTCACTCACTCCACTCACCCATTCACGCCACTCACGCCACTCACCTCACTCAATCCACTCACACCACTCACCCCACTCACTTCATCACGCCACTCACCCCACTCGTGCCACTCACCTCATTCACCTCAGTCACCACGCTGACTCATTCACTCATTCAATCACTCATTCATTCACTCACCCACTCAACTTCACCACTTGTGTTCGTGGATTTCCTAACAAACCGTGCAAAAAAAACCCACAGCTTACAGAAGACACTTTTGGATCCATCACATTCTCAGAGCAGGCACAATGTCCTTTCCAGGTATGGGTACGACCTGAAAACCCTTGCGACTGCATTCGGGTTGGTGGACACGGATCAGAAGTTGGAGCGCTTTCCGTTCGGAGAGTCTTTGCTGCATCGATCTTTCACTAACGAGTTTGAACACCAAGCGTCGAGCTTTAATGGATTGTTTGAATTGCGACTGTGCAAGTGCAACAGGCCAAAGCTGACGCAGCTCTACAAGCGCATCTGGACAGAGATAGGGACTAGGGGGAGCGGTTGCTATTTTTCTCCGCTTTCCCAGCAGATGCCAGCATTCAGGTTGAGATCGCCAGAAACGTTCACAAAATTTGTGGAGTATGCGACTCTCGATGCCGTGCTTTGGACGAAATCTGAACATGCACGAGCAGAGCCGGTATGGTGTCCTTAATTGCCTCCGCTGCTCAACTCCGCTGTTTTGATGGGGACTGGGGTGAGAACGGTCTAGGTTTGCATCCTGGTTATCTGGGGATCGCAAGCAAAAGAGGGTAAGCTAGCAACGTAGTAGTTAGATGTAGTAAGAGCAGTCGTCGTGTTAGCGGTGTCGTACAGTAGAAGCAGTGGCAGTGGCAGTGGCAGTCGCAGCAGTTCACATGCTACACAAACCGTGCGACTAAGATTTCCGACCCTCTCTAAATCCAAATCCGGAATGCTCAGCTTGGGCCTGCATTCTGGATCCTTGATCCTTGACCTTCAAGTTAGCAGCTGGCTCCATTCGGCAATCGCATGCTTAAGCTCGAACAGTGGGCTTCAACATGTGTATTGGCATCAATACCACTAGGATTCTCTTGCAGTCTTATATGCATGAAGAACTTTCTAGTGACTACCTGCAGCGTGCGCTTGAACAAGATGATCATCAGGACAGCAGTGTCTATCGTCTAGAGGTGTTTTGCCTTTGATGATATGGAGAACCGGGATGGTTCGGAGGTTGCCGCAGCTGACGCAGGGCTGCCTCGCTCGAGGGTCTGCGTTGCTGCAGTTTGGCGCGACACGCGGACGAAAGTGCTGAAGGGCTACCGTCCAGAGCAGCTCAGGCACGTTGGGCCAAAGTTTACGGGGCACGGTCGGTTTTGTCAAAGACCGAAGGCGCTCGCTTGCCTTTGGTTTGCTGGCGGCCTATCACAGCTATGTCTTTCTTGCGGCGGCACTTAGCATAATCATACTGAGTGGCAACTTGATCCTCGCATGGTTCATCAGCTGGTTCCAAGAAGTCCGCAATGGTGATGGAGCGCTTGATCCAGGCAAGGTGTCTTTGGGTTATTACCTGGCAGTTCTACTGCGGTGCTGGCTTCTGATTCATCTGTCTGCAGAGCTGCTTCGCTGCACCATCTGGTTGGTTGAGGATTGTTGGGAAGTGCAGACTTTTCAGACATACCGGCGAATCTGTACGGGGGCAGCTTTCCGGAAGATGCGCGAAGCACAGCCAGAGCCCGCTGTTGCGAAACAGCTATCATGCAGTGACTGGGCGCATGGAAGTTCTTGGCAGTGGTGGGTGGATCTGCCGATCCAGGCACTGATCTATGCGACTATAGATGTGGTTCCCCTAGTCTTCGCTGTGCCTTCACTCTTTCGCCTTGACTTGGTCAGCTTTTTGAGCTCTCTTTTTGCTACTGCATGCTCTGCTGGGGTCGTGCACGTGGTGATCCTCTATGCTGCCTGGACACTATCGGATGTGGCCGCAAAGGTGGTAGCGTGGAATGCCTTGCCGATTTCCGACATGTCCGACATCCGGCCACCGCCCAGTCCCGAGGTTCTGCCAGAGTCGCAGGCGGATGAGCCTCCTGAAGATGAAGATCCCCTGCGACCTGCCAACTTCTGTGCCCTATGTGGTGGTGTTTTGCATTTGGGCTGGGTCATGATCTTGAAAGCATTGTTTTTCGCTGCTTTGGTTGTCTTTGCAATACAGAGAGATATGGCAGATGAAAACCCATTCTGGCTGGTAGCTGCGCTCCTTCTCGGTGTGGCTTTCTGGCATTCCATCTTCGCCCAAGGCCTGGAGCTTCTGGCCGGCCGTCTCGAAATGTCTTCGTCGAGGTCTTGCTTGCCATGCTGCGGGGCCGACGAAGAAGCTCAAACACTTTCCGGTGAGGGGGACGCTAGGTTCCTGTGTGTGCCCGTGCAGCTGGCGGCTAAGTTGCAAGTGTGGGGAGCTGCGCATGCTGGTCTTTCAGCAGCCGCTTTAGCAGGCCAGTATGAGCTTGCCGTCTATGCTTTGTTGCTGCAGCTCACGCTGTTCGGCAACTTCAGGTGGGTTGAGGGGGCCATTTTCATTTTGCTCCTCATTCTTTTGCTCTTGTTTAGACGGGCGACACTGCTTCGTTTGGGCAACTGGTGCGCTTTCTTTGGTCTGCTCGAAAGCACTTTCTTCGTGATTCTGGCTGTGGCCATCAATGCGGCCTACTCGGGATCTGCAGGCGGGGCTGTCCTCGTGATGGCCTTGCTCTTGCAATGTACGCTGACGCGGGATGAACTTCGAGCTTGGCGCATCTGGCGGGCTGTCACCTTGGGGCTTCACTGCAGCTTAGTCGGGGTGGTGGCCCTTTGCATGTGGTCTATGCAGGGTGGAAGTGGTTGGACAGAAGCTCAGCCCAGAGGAGTGAGCACGTACACGACATACCCCTGGTGCGATCTTCAGTGGCCCTTAGGAAGACAAGGCTCCGATCGATATCTAACTGTCACCAACTTTGCTGACATTTGCGCGATGACGAACCTTCCAGGCTCGGATTTCAATGCCACCCTTGAGTCGCAGTTTCCGGGATGGACGCTCGTGTTTGAGAGACGTGCTGGTAAATCATTGTCAGACAAAGGCCGCGACGGCTATTACGACTGGACGACCTTCTTTGAGCTTGCAGACCCGCAGAACGAATCCACGCTGTTTGCCGTTCGTGGGACCCAGAGTCCGCTGGAAGTGCTGCAGGATGTGAATATTTTCACGCCGGTTGTCCTCACACAAATCGCAGCATTCTTCGGCCCGGACCTCACGTCCTCCGTGACCAAGACAGTCTTCTCGCTTTTTGCGGGGCTCCCAAGTATTGACAAAGACTTCTTCCAGGCAGGTGCGTTTCTGGCTCGGTGCTAGGCTGGGAGGTGAAGGTTTGCACTGGCATGCTCAAGCTGCGAGGTTGAAAGATACCCAGTGAATTCTGTAAACAACCGCCAGACGCTTGCCGCAGGCTTTCCTCGCGCATGTGCGTGCTCGCGTGAGAAGTGACCCATCACGTCGATACTATCTCACTGGCCACTCTTTGGGTGGAGGCCATGTGGTCCCGAACCGTAGTCCCATGCATAGACCAGTTCGGTGAAGTAAATGAGCCGACGTCTCGTCTGCTGCAATTTCTTGAGTGGCAGTGCGTTAGCCGGGTCAGTCATCCTGTGTCGCGACGTGATACCGCATCTCTGCGCCCGTTGTTGCTCCTTGAATCTGCAGAACTCAGCTCAGTTCGGTGCAGAGGCAGAGCTTGTTTTTTTTGTATGGAATAAACGTTTGCGCGGTCAGTTTTGCTTCTCCAGGCTTGGCGAAGCTGGTGGCGCTGGAGGTGGGACAGCCATCAGTAACCTTCGCTGCCCCCGGCTTACGCTACACCTCGCAGATGCTGCTTTCGAAGGAGACCCAGGCACGGCACATGGCGACTCATGCTTTCAGAATCTTTCAGGGGTCTTTGGACTTTGCTTTCTGTTTTCTCTTCTTAGAATTACTTAAAATGAATCAGTCTGAGCGTAAGTAAAGAGACCTTGGTTTGTCACCATGCGAAGACACACAAACCCTAGCATCTCTTTCGGTGAACTGTGTGCGTGCATGGATGCATGCCGAGGCCTTCCACTACCGCAGCTAAATAAGCAATTGACACTCGTATTGTTCGTATTGTTTAAATGCCAGGGCACCGTCCCGTGCTTCGAAGCACATGCGATGACAGCGTTCAAGCATTGCAGCATGATCGCTGAGTAGTTCGCGGATTTTCGATGGACGGTGCAAATGGATTCTCACCTAGGAAGACGATCGAAGACGGACAAAACTTGGCACCGACGGTTTGATCTCGTGGTCAGTGACATCGTGCATGTCAAGCCGGCCACATGATCTCACATTGATTAATATGGGTCGGAGTCGCCGACTGGAGTAATCATGAGGCAGGATCATGTCGTTCGAACGATATTTCCGAACTCGGCCCTGTGCGACCGTTTCCAACAAGTCCCCCAATGTTACCAGGCAAAGACACGCATGAGAAACGAAACCACCGCCTTCTTCGCGTCGACGGCCTCGCAGTCGTTGCGTCGGCCAGTGCTCCGTGCACTCGATGACAACCGATTTGTCAACATTGTGTTCGCTTGGGCATTTGGTCGTCTTTTGGGCCTCAGTCCCTGGTTATTGGACCAAAAAGGCATGCTGTCAGTTTGGGTGGAGCCGTGACTACCGCCTCGACATCAACTCTTTGGTGCTGAAGTATAAACAATGATCTGAGGGGTGGGTGGTGATGCGCATGTCTTTACATACCTCACCACGAAGGCAATCTACAATGGCAATGAGTTGTTGGAGGCAGGGGAACACCTGTCCACTGTCGTAGCTTCTGGGCCGCAGGCACTAATACAACAATCTGGCCCGAGTAAACCAACCAAAGCAGTTGAATGCTGTGAAGTGTTGGAGCTGTGAGATTCGGCCAGCTACAAGTACCTGTGTCTACAGACTTGCTGTGAAGAGCCATCTTGAATCTTCACCAAGGTTCCTGAGCACGACCTGGTGTCCCGAATTGACCAACAGCTGGGTGCACAGCTTGGGGTGGCTTGTGACCGGAATTTGTTTGGATGCCACAGCCTGCAGCACATTCTGTATGAATTGCGTAAGAGTTGTTAGCCACATTGCCTGTAAAGCAGACTGAGTTGCTTGTAGATGAGTCGATGGTACGTTCGGCATCGTTCGGCCACTGTTCCACGGCTCGTGGAATCCGAAGGCAGCAGCATTGCAGCGCGCCTGCTCATTCTGCTTCCAAAGATAAAAGCTGCGCGATGGTCAGTATGTCTTGCGGGCTTGCATGCCAATAGAGATGCCAGGCTCTGCGAGCGAGAATGCAAGACTCCCTGGATAAAGCTTCCCTTCGCGCTGTTGCATCCGTCTCTCAAATGCGAGGTGATTACCTGGAGGTTATTCAATCACCTCAAGCTACGCTTGTTGGAAAGGCTTACGGTGCGGGCTCATGGCCTCATCGATGGTCGAGCTTTGTGTTGATACCAGCAGGCCCTGGATCACGGAAGTGCACAAGCTCCGCGTGTCACAGCTCCTGAATGACGACGCTGCCGCAGATGCCATTGCGGCTGAGCTGCGGACCTATGGGTGCGCCGAGAATCAGTCAGGGTATAGTGCACGTCGCACTGCTTTCCCACGCAGGCGGTCCACGAAAACATCGGAGTTCCGCATCCCCGCAGCATGTCAAGTCGTGACAATGTTGCAAATTCCGGGGCTCGCATTCGGTGAGGCTCCTTGGCCGGAACGCCCGGGACCGTGCAGCTTCGTACAGGACGGATTCGAATCTGAAAGTCGCGACTTGTGTTTGGCTTTGTGGTCGGCCAGCAGGCACGTGCGGTCTTGTTGTTGCAGCTGACGTTTGTACTGACGGTTTGAGGACAGACGATGTGGAACTTTTACCAGCAGAATCTCCGAGAACTGCCCGAGTGCTTGGCGAAGATGCAAGATCGAGGCATGGGAGAAGGTGAAGAGCTTTTGCGAGTTACACAGAACATGGATGTTGCAAATCGCTTGGAAAGGAGCCCCCGATGCAGTAGCCGAAACACGACCTGCCCGACCAATGCCATGGCCACAAGAATGTTGAAGACACATGTGACCGCACAGTACTCTCTAAATGAACAAGAGCCACTACGAGCGCAGTTGGGATTTGCATCCCATGAGTTATGGAAGCATGTGATCCAAAACCGACCCCTCTTGATGTTGTATCAGGGTAAAGCCTCAAGGCTGTTATTGGCCAAAACAGAAGCTGCATGCAGGGCATTCGTTGCCATGTATTTGTAGGCCAAGCTGGGTTGAGACCTGCCCGTAGGTAGGGTCAAACCACGGAGGTGTTCCTGTGGATGCTGCGACTCTCGCGCGCCTGGAGGACATCTCCAGCAAAGACCTTGAAACGACACCGGGACCTTGATAAAGGCACCCACCAGCAGCCAGCAGGTTTGGCTGCTGCTGTAGGGGGAGATCATAGCATACGAGAGTACATTACAAGCACACGCACACGCACACGCACACGCACACGCACACGCACACGCACACGCACGCACGCACCCACAC